TATAGTGGCATAATTCATCACGATAACAATAAAATATCACCATGTTTTCATAAAATATCAGCGTCTGACTGGAATTTGTCACAGAAAGACTTAAATCTTCAGGAATTTGTGTCACTGAATACTTTTAAACATTTTTCAAACAGTAGAAGTGGGTAAAACTCCTTAAACGAGTTATTGGAGGTTGTTGATTGTTGAATTTTCTGTTTTATGTTTGTAATTTGTTATTCGTTTTGTTATATTTGATGTGTGTTGCTGTCTTGGCCAATTTTAAATTTTAAAGTGAGATTTTTCCTGTTAAATAAAGGTATACAAAGCCCACCCGTTGAGAGAACAGTACATTCTGAAACAATATTAACACAGTACATCAACTGTTACTTCAAAAAAAGGAAGGGAAATTCAGTTTGCCATGATTTGGGCCCTTTAAAGAGAACTTGCTCTGCATTACCCTCTGTTCATCTCTCCTCCCATCCACAGAGGCTCTCACCTTTACAGACCCCCGTCTGTGGAGGCCTGGCTGGTTGGAGCCCGACGATGAGGGCACAGTTGAGGCCAGAATCGCAGTAGCCCCAGCTCCAGCTCGGACCCCCACACACCTCCCCCATCTGCCGGGCACAATGCTGGCAGCACCCACATGGGTCAGTCACATGCCCTCCTGGACAAACCCACTGCACCGGCGGACACTGGACAGCAGAGCAGGGCTCACAACCTGGCGCAAGGGCTTCTGGGAGATGCGGTATTTGATGAACTCACTCACCTTTTTAAATGTACATTCATATATCACTGCTGTACTGTTAATATCTCAATTTGGAGATGCTAGTTGGCCTTTACACTGTGAACATTTCAGAACAAATGGACCAAATTACATGAAATCAAATCTGGTTACATCAACGTACGTTAAATTTAAGAATAACCGTTTCTATTCCCTTTATAGTGTCTATATAGTGCTCCAAAATAGGGAATAGTAATTAGGGACTTCTTTTGTCCCCTTCATAGTGCTCTATGTAGTGCCCCAATGTAGGGAATAGTGATTAAGGACCATTTCTGTGACCTTTATAGTGTCTATTTAGTGCTCCAAAGTAGGGAATAGCAATTAGGGACTATTCATGTTCCCTTTATAGTGTTCTATATAGTGCACCAAAGGGGAATAGTGATTAGGGACTATTTCTTTTCCTTTTGTAGTATTCTAATTAGTGCTCCAAAGTAGGGAATAGTGATTAGCAACTACTTTTGTCCCCTTCATAGTGCTCTATGTAGTGCTCCAATGTAGGGAAAAGTGATTAGGGACTATTTCTGTTCCCTTTATAGTGTTTTATTTAGTGCTCCAATGTAGGGAATAGTGATTAGGGACCATTTCTGTACACCTTATATGGTTCTATTTAGTGCTCCAAAGTAGGGAATAGCAATTAGGGACTATTTTTGTTCCTTTTATAGTGTTCTAGATAGTGCTACAAAGTAGGGAATAGTGATTAGGAACCATTTCTCTTCCCTCTATCGTGTTTTATTTAGTGCTCGAATGTAGGGAATAGTGAATAGGGACTATTTCTGTTCCCTTTATAGTGTTCTAGATAGTGCTCCAACATAGGGAATAGCGATTAGGGATTATTCATGTTTCCTTTATATTGTCTAATTAGTGCTCCAATGTAAAGAATAGCGATTAGGGACTATTTCCGTACCCTTTGTAGTGTTCTATAAAGTGTTCCTAAGTAGGGAATAGAAGTTTCTGAACAATACGTCTTAAAAATAATAACTGAATAATAAGCATGGAGTTTAAAGGGTTAATGATTAATTAATACATAACCAATTAATAAACAGTTGCTATAATTCGTCATTGGAATATACAGTTCTTTACATTTTGTAACTGTAATAAATGTACGAAAAGGCATTACACTGTGATCTGTACAAGCAAAGCGTCTACTTACTGCTACACACTCCGAACACAGGGCCGTTCTGTTCTCTGTCTTCAGCAGCCATGCAGGTGAGATCGGCCTCACACCTTCCCGCGATAGACCCTCCACACTGCTCACCTTCACCCAGCCAAGCCTGGCCTGAGCCTGCCTCATAGGTCAACACCAGCACCTGAACCACCATCCAGAGAGCACTGGAAACCATAGTGCTGCTGCAGTATGACCTTATTCACAGTAACACACTCTGACTTTAAAAGAAGCCAAATCAAACTTAACAGAACAGCAGACTGGAAGAGTAGAACCAAAACAGAGAGAGAGCGGCTGAAGGCTGAAGCTGATCACTGTGTGCTGCCTGGTAGCCTCATCTTTCTGGCCAAAACACTCTCCCTCTTTCCTTTTTTCTCCTCTCTGCTTGTCACACTCTCTCCCTACTCGTGTGCTTCCTCGAGTTCTTCCTTCCTGCATATGTGCTGCCCACTACTGAGCTCAGCAGGCCCTGAGCTGAAGGAGAGTGCTGCGCTGCTGAGGATGTGCAGGAATCTATTATCTTCAAAGTATGGGGGGAAAATATTTATGCTATTGGTTTTCTACCAAAATGCATCTGATTTGCTATTTATTCCACTGACTAATGAACAATGGAGAACAATGAAACCAGATTTTGTTCCAGGTAATTTCATGCCATTTCTTTTGGTCCATTTATCTTGAAATTTATACACAATATAAAGGCCAACAGGCATTTTCAAATTATGTCAAAAACTGAAAAATGACGAAAATGGAGATATGAGGTTTGGGTCTGACAACCTGCAGTCCAGACCTGTCACCACTGATAACATTTGAAAAATATGACAAAGGAGACCCTGAACTATTTAGCAGCTGAAATCCTTTATCGAACAAGAACGGGAAAACATTTCACTTTCATATATACATATAGATGTTGTTGAGACAAAACCTTGTATCTCCATTTTCAGTTTTTGACATCATTTATAATTTGAAAATGAAGAGAGGACCGAAATGACTTGGGAAAAATTCTGGTTCCATTGACTTACATTAAAATAGAGAGAAGAGAAAAGAAGAAGAGAGGGGGGAGACAGAGAGAATAAGAAATAATTAATGAGAGAGAAAGAATACGAAAGAGAGACATAAAGAGAAAGGGCAAAAGAAAACAGAAGGAGAGAAAGAGAGAAAGAAAGAGAGAGAGAGAGAGAGAGAGAGAGAGAGAGAGAGAGAGAGAGAGAGAGAGAAAGCATTGCACCAGTCCCTGTGCCATAAGGATGTAGACAGACAGGAATCCAGACAGCAGTCCCGTCACTGAGTCCCCGTGAGACCCTCTGCTCTGTTCTCGAGTAAACACTGAATAAACTGCAGCGTTTCGTCGTCTCACTGAAAAGCCACAGCAGGACGTGCAGCCTCAGAGAGGACAGCAGGCTGAAAACAGTCCAGTTCAGAGAGAACAATGGAAAAAGGAGAAAAAAGTAAAGCAAAGTAAAGGAATTAAAGGAAAAAATAAACGTCAGCAGGAGAGGCTGATTCTGAATGTTTTATTTCACGTCCAAACTTCTAACAGCGAGTAATCAGGAATGCCTGAGGTTACTTTTTATCTCATTTGTATTCAATAATGCAAAAAGGATTCCATTAGTACAGTAAAATGAACAATGTATTTGAATAAAAAGTGCTGGTACAGATCATTTGGGTCTCAGTTATTTTGCTTTTTAAACTCAAATAAAGGCACAAATGCAGATTAACATTGCACACACAACAACAATGATAAAACAATATTACAAAATAATAGTGGACTTAGTGGCTTCTTATTACAATGAATGTTGGTCCGTGAAAATATTAGTGCAGATTGAGTGACCAGACAGACAAATCCCTTTCAAATTTCAGTAGACAATTCACATAGGCTATAACTTGGCACATTTTTTGTTCATTTGTTTAATCTTTTCTCCACTTTTCGCAGCCAATACATGTTTGCTGCACACATGTTGCTCTTTAGTTTAGTGCTGGAGCTACAAATCTAGTGTTAGTTACAGACACTTGAAGTCAGTAGTCAACCAAATCTTTTCTGCAAACACATCCCCAAAAACCTCTCTCAACAAGCTGAACCGAATCCAGCTCTTCAGGTGGTTTAGGTCACTTAATGCGAACTATAAAAATGGACAAAGCTTCACTGGGTAGCTGAACACAGCAGGCAGAGATTTTAGACAACAGGGAGTTACGGCAAATTCAAATTCATGGTGAACTTTTATTAATTTTTTACGTAAGTCATACTGTGTCCTAAAACATGCGTTTAGATGCACTTAATAATCCGATAACTGCAGAAAATCAGATTTTGCCACTAGTCCGATCAATGCATTTATATGCACTTGAGTAATCAGATAATGGAGAAACGCCTGGTCTACATGAGTCAGACAGTAATCAGATTTCTGCTTTACAACCGGCCAATAAACTCATAGAAGAAGTAAAATGTAAACGTAAAACTCAAACTTCATGCCACTGTTTTTTAAACTTTGTGCCACTTTACCTGAAAATATGAACATACATCACCTAGAAGATGAAGAATATTCAAATCCTTCATTTCGTCGAGAATGTATTCGGTTTCAGAGGAATCGGTTTCAGCTACTTGCTTATTTCTGGTTGCTTATTACTCTGATTTCTTTCGGATTTCTCAATCTGCGCTTGTGTGGAACAGACGGAGAAATCCGAAAGAAATCAGTGTAAGAGTTCACATGCACTGAGAAATCTGATTACTGAGCTAAAATCCAGCCTCTTTATCCGATTTCTTAATCAGATTTCTAGATCGGAGTATGGTGTTTACATGACCATTTGAATAATCGGATAACTGCAGAAATCTAATCATGATCTGATTATTGAGTGCATATAAACACACTCATTGACAAGTCCGCACAACCTTACTGATGGCCAGGGTGTGGTTTGAGTGCTTGATTTCAGACGATATGCTGGATGAGCAGGTGCCTTGGATGTGTAGAGTAATAACCAGTTTCATGGAGTTAAATATTTAGTGGAAAAAACTTTACAGACTGTGTTTATTAAACGTAGGACTAGCCTTGATCCTAACGTCTCGAAACTGGCCCATACCTGGAAAACTGGCCTGATACAGTACATAGAGAGTATAGTGGTCTAATATAGTAGTGTGGTTTATTTGCCATTAGAATGCTGTGTGTGCTCTGGGCAGGCTTCAAGTATAAGAAGTTAAACCAAGCAACACTTCACCCAAAAATGTAAGCGCTAGTAATGGTGACTGAAAGCTAGAGATGATCGGTGAATGAACCGAACTGATCCCCACTGTCATTCATTCATTGCTAGCCATGTTAGCATTCTTGGCTGAAGTACTGCCATAATGGCAGGTTTAATAACACGTTTAGTTTCTAGAAAAACTGGAACAGAATGAAAAAGAGGCCACAACGGGGGCATATTAGATAGATCAGCCAATCATTGCTTAGCATATATGGATTTCCACGTATGCTACACGTTGTTAAACCTGATTTTTGGTCTCTCTCTGCTTGGTATGGCTGATTTATTTCTGTGCTGTTTGTTTAATCAGAAGCCAGGACATCTCGTAGTTTCTGAGCGATGGCCTGAGCGCGGTCTGGAGGGCAGGGCAGCAGTGGCAGCCGCGGCGGACCCATGGACAGCCCCGAAAACTCGCTCATCAACTGCTTATTCACGTGCAGGCCAAACCCTGGAGCAGATAAAGAAAACATTAGTGCTTCATGATGTGGACAACACAGTCTAACATATAACCTATAACATATAACTCTTTAAAGACAATGCAAAAAGTACACATTTGAGCCATTTAACGCAGCTTTGTCAAGAGATGCACAATGATATACGTATTGGTATGGTTTAATAAAAAACTGTCAGCATTGATGCATTTCAAACTGATATTTTATTATGTATGTATTGCCCCCTAAAAGAGCAGAATGATCCTGTGATGATGAGTTACTGTGCTAGAAATGTCTGTTTTATTCTTTCATGTATTTTCAACCCTACAAACATAAATTTTATATTTCTTTGTAACCATAATCAAGGTAGTTTTAGTAACTTGGGACCACAACGATGCTGTGCCATTTATTTTCATATGTTAAGAACGTGATCCAGCAAAGTTAGGAATTCATAGATTTTTAGTGATGCAGCTGAACAAGCTAATCTCTCATTTCACATAACACAACTAGATAAACAGCATGGCTTCAACTGTAACTCCGATTCAGGTCATACAGTAATTGAGATTTTTTTTTTTGTCTGGTCTGAGAAAGTGCAAAATCAATGAGCAAATGTTGAGCAGTGTTTTGTTGAGTCCGTGGGTATGCAATGAATACATGTTGCACATTTACTGAAATATAATACAATTTATAAAACACAATATTGTAATTAGAGTTTGTTTCCTACAATCACAGAACTCATAACAGATATTATGGTTTTTATAACATAGTAGATAAAACCACCAGCCTTCATGTGTTATGTGCAAAGGCAATGACATCCTACTAGAACCTTGTTTCCAAACAAACTGGGATGCTGTGCAAAATGTAAATAAAAACAGAATGCACTGATGTGCAAAACATTTAAACCCTGCATTTTATTAAAAAAATAGTACAACACATAGGCAAATAGTGCAACAATTCAAGAATAATGTTTTGTACCATAAAATAGCAAAGAATTTGGGGATTTCATTATCTACAGTACCTAATATCATTAAAAGTTTCAGAGAATCCAGAGGAATCTCGGTATGCAAGAGACAAGGCCGAAAACCAATACTGGCTGGATTCAGACACGATTCTGTTGTGGAAATCACAGCATGGGATCAGGAACACTTCTGAAAACCACTGTCTCTGAAAACAGTTCGTCAATGTTTCCATAAATGCAAGTTAAAACTCTATCATGCAAAGAAAGATTAATAGGATCCAGAAACGCCGCCGCCTTCTTTGGGCCCGAGCTCATTTAAGATGGACTGAGGTGAAGTGAAAGTGTCCTGTGGTCCAACTAATCAAAATTTGCAATTCGTTTTTGGAAACCATCGACACCTCTTCCTCCAAGCTACAATAGATAGGGACCACCCGGCTTGTTATCAGTGCTCAGTTCAAAAACCAGTATTCATGATGGTATAGGGGAGCATTAGTGAACATGGCATGGTTGACTTGCACATCTGTGAGGGTACCATTAATGCTGATTGATATATATAGGTTTTGGAACAACACATGCTGCCATCCAGATGACGTCTTTTTCAGAGAAGGCCTTGCTTATTTCAGCAAAACAATGCCAAACAACATTCTTGATGTATTACAACAGCATTGCTCCGTATTAAAAGAATCCGAGAGCTAAACTGGCCTGTCTGCAGTCCATGCTTTTGACCCAGTGAAAACATCTGCCACATTATGAAACTAACTCAACTTTTTTGAAACCTGTTGTGGGAATCAAATTCAAAATGAGCATATATTTTTCACAAAACTATATCATTACTCAGTTTCAACACTTGCTATGTTGCCTTTGTACTATTTTCTATTATATATAGGGTTTAAATGATTTGCACATCATTGCATTCTGTTTTTTATTTACATTTTACACCTGCGTCCCAACTTTTTTGGAAATGGGATTGTATACCAACAAGAGTCCTTGTGCAAAACTCCTAACGCTACATTCACCTGTACATGATAAAAATAAACTGCTCTGGTTAAGAGCATCTACACAATACCAAAAATGAAAATTGGAGTCTAATGTTTCTGTACTGATGTGTATTGTTGATTTACAGTTGTATCCAAAAATCTGAACATCTTTGTGTGAACAATCTGTTTGCTATCTTAGCTTAGTCACCCTTATTTACTGAGTTATTATTAAAATATTAACTGTAAAGCATTCGGTTCAATAACTACAATGAATTATTCAACAGTACTATGAAAGTGGAATTGAAGTGTGCACTCACATTGGACCCTTTTAAAGGGTTTAATATTGTGAAGGAGTGATGAACTCACCTAGACTGATTGCGAATGTGATGACCTCCTGCATCTTAAACTGAGAAGGAGAAAAACAGACGAACACAGCTAAAACAATCATACAGCAAAAGGAAACTCTAAACTTCAGTACAACTGTGACATACAGCACATTTATATGAGCTTAAAAAAGAGAGAAACCAGAAAATGAAGAGATACATTCGTAAAATTAGTCAAACTAAGGAAGCAACAGCTTTAAAAAGGCCACAGTCTAATATAGGGGTGTCAAACTCAACCAGTAAAATGGCCACATTAAAAAAAGTCAAGTCAAAGTCCAAGTCAAAGTCAAATCTCTCAAAAATCTCAACAAATCTGTGGGCCAGAGAAAAAAAACATTTTATTTCATTTTTAATTAATGTTGTGCTGTAACCGGAACTGACCATTGTTTATTCAAAATATGCAAAAACTTCAACAGTAAAATACAGGCATGAGTAGTAAACCTTGAAATATTACATGGACATTTGAAATATTCTAAATGCAAATGTCCTTAGGAGCTCAGTCTTTAAAACCTACCTATTTGCTTGAACTAGACTCCTGGCATCCTTTCTTTACTGCAAGTTCATTAATGCTTGTGCTCAGTTTCTGAGCTGCTGAGCTGACGTTAAGTGTTTATACTGGCTGAACTGCAGCTGAAATGCAGTTAGTGTGTTTGGTGATATGACTGGTGTAGAATTGTGTAGAATTGAGGTGTAACTGCTGTCCCATAAGTTGTTGTTGGGGTAGGAGAGCCAGAGCACACATTACGTTGCAGTGCATGCTGGGGACTGTAGTGCAGCGCATTGTGAAACGAGCTAATGTTAATAGAAAATATAAACACTTCTGTGGGCCAGATAGGATTGTGTGGCAGGCCTTGTGTTTGACACATGGGGTCTAATAAAAGGATTTATAGAAGTAAGACCCACCTGAAGCTTTCTGGCTAGATCAACATCTCCTTTCTCAAACGCACTCAGCATACTGCTCACAGCGCTGCCCACGTAGTTGTATGTACTGGTGGGGAAACAGAGAGAGACTAAAACCATTGAAAACTCCTTTTCAAGAGTAGATAAAAAAAAAACAAAGACACAAACACCAAAGCCTAATACTGATAATGACTGTGATGATGCAGGAAAAGGAGAAGATTTGGAACATATGATTAAATTATAAAAGGCGATAAAAGAGAAACAGACCTTCCGACGGCCCCATTGACTCCCAACACCACCGCCCCCAGCAGTTGCTAAATGGTGGGAAAAAAATAAAGAAAAGAATCTACTAGTACGGGTGTCCTAAGACAAAATATTTTACCATGGTTAAACAAAGAACTGCATAATTTTGAAAATAATTATTTATGCCTGTTATGTCATGTATGAATGCCTTAAAGGGGAATGACACCAATTTTTCAACATTTCTGTACAATTCAATCACTGAGATGTTAAAGATGCAAAGTCATTCAAGCATTCTGATGTGAAGTGGTTCACTGCAGGAAAACATCCCAACTAAGACTGCTTTACAGTGGTGGTGATAGGAACCAGGGGTCACCATGACTACAACACAAATATAGCCATTTTATTTACTATAGAAAATCACCAGTGAACCTACACGAGTCTTCTAGTTTCATATGTCATGCTGATGATGATTCAATAATGCTTAACGCAGAAAAAAATGTCACGGCATACAAGAATTTTGGCACCCTGCACATGCCTGAACATATTTAGGGGGAGGGGGGGAACATTTTTGTTTCAAAACAGCATCAGGCAGCTCATTCATAACTATTTATTTAGTAGATTTATGTGAATGAGCTTTAGGAGGCATTAAACCCCTCAGATGTCTGGTTCCTATCACCAACACTGTGAACTATTCTTAGTAAGTTTCTAGAAAGGAGCCTTTTACATGAAACCACTGTGAATGACTTTTACATCTCTATTATTATTCAGATATTACTCTGAAATAAAAATAAATTGGTGAAATTCCCCTTTAATCGATTATTCATTAGGTGATTTGGTTCAGAAGTTGCACTTTGATACAGGAAGAGAAAAAAAAAAACAAATGAAAGAAGAAGCGGTGCATACCTCATCCACTCCGTACAGCACAGACCAGCCGCGTGGACGGCAGTAACTGATACATTGGCCCAGATCCCTCAGATCTGCTGCGCTGAACTTTAACCCTCCGAACGAGGGGATCTGATTCTCAATCCCATCCAGAATCTCCCTCGCATCCACTGAGAGGAGAAAGGGCAGGGGAAAAGAAAAGAACAGAGGTAAGAGAGGAAAAGAGAAACATCATTCACACATGATGAAATGTCAGAGAAGTTCATGTCAGCTTTATCCATAGAGATGTGCAGAAACACACACACACATACATATATATATATATATATATATATATATAAACACACCAAGGTATTTATGCACTATGAGCCTCATTCTCCATTATGTTCTTATGTTTGTTCTTACATGTGTTCTTGAGAAAGATCTTAAGAAAATGTCTACATCAGATTTAATACGTGTTCTTAAAGCACAGAACTGTTCACATCTTTGTGCTCGAGTGTCTAGATTCTGTTCTCAGCTAAGAACAAATCCAAAATAGGAAAACATTCACAGCAAAAAATGGTCTCTTGTCAAGTGAAATGATCTTAAATCTAGTCAATATATATCTAACATTTCCCATTTTGAGATTGTTGTGCACTTATTATAAGATTATCCAGCTCATTTCTACAAATGTTTTACTAGTTTTAGGTAAAATTATCTCATCATACTGGCAGATATTTTTGCTGGTTTCAAGCACATTTCTTAAAACAAGCACTATTATCTGCCAAGACAGTGAGATAATTTTCTGAAAATGACCTAAAACAAGTAAAAAATGTCTAGAAATAAGTTAAATAATCTTATAATAAGTGCACAACCATCTCAACAGGAATCAGATTTTCTGCCTAGATTTAAGATAATTTTACTTGATAATATACCATTTGTTGCAGTGTGAATGTCAGAGTCTTTGTGAAAACTGCGTGAGGGGGTTTTAAGAAGAAATTTTTCCTCATAATAACGTTTGGTGAATAAGGCCCTGTTTTTTTTTACACTTTAAAGTGACATAAATCAAATTTACAACCTCCAGATGCAGTCGCTCAGCCAAAACATGTCTGGTGAAGTTTCTAGTTTTGCACTGGAGCTTAAATTAATAGAAGCTTAAACTCCACATATTAGCATTGAGTGTGTTTACATGCACTCAATAATCTGATCATAATTAGATTTCTGCTGTTATCTGATTATTCAAATGGTCATGTAAACACCATACTCCGCTCTAGAAACCTGATTAAGAAATCTGATAAAGAGGCTGGATTTTAGCTCAGTAATCAGATTTCTCAGTGCATTTAAACTCTTACTCTGATTTCTTTCGGGTTTCTCAGTCTGCGCCTGCGCCGGAAATAAGCAAGCAGAGTTGCCACAAGATGCAGCAAAACAATTGTGGAGCGACGCCAAAACCAACTGCATTCTCAACAAAATTAAAGATTTAAATATTCTTCATCTTCTAGATCAGAGGTGTCCCATCTTATCCGCAAAGGGCCGGTGGGGCTGCAGGTTTTCATTGCAACTAAGCAGGAGCTCACATCGAGAGCTGTTTAAAGACTAAACGAGTGGAAACAGGTGTGCTCCTCTTGTTTGGAATCAAAACCTGCACCCACACTGGCCCTTTGAGGATAAGATTGGACATTCCTGTTCTAGAGGATGCATGTTCATATTTTCAGGTAAAGTGACCCGATGATTTAAAAAAAAAAAAGCCACGTCACGAAGTTTGAGTTTTACATTCTGTTTACGTCACGTCTTCGTCTGTGAGTTTACTGGCTGGTTGTAAAGCAGAAATCTGATCACTGTCTGACTCATGTAGACCCAGAGTTTCCCCATTATCTGATTACTAAAGTGCATGTAAACATGTTGATTGGATTACTGGCGAAATCAGATAATCTGCAGTTATCAGATTATTAAGTGTATGTAAACACAGTGTTCTCTATAAACATTTCACAGTTCAGACCTCAAAGAGGTTGTTTTCACATTAGACCTATGGTAGGGTTGTGTATTTTGATGGTGAGCGGTCTGTGGGTTGCACGTACTGTTCACTCCAGTTATGGAGGGTAAGTGGTAGTAGTAGAGTGGAAGCTTTGGTGCTGCAGATGCCACTTCCTGAAGAAACATTCTCAGCGCCTCTGAGAAAATGCCACAAGACAGAGATGTGAAACAGATTTAATCATTTTGCAATAATTAATACCCTTAAAGGGCCCATAAAAAGGCCCTGGATTCTTTCAAATAAGAGTTGGATGCATGTCAACACTATTAATGTTTCTAAACGTACTTTTCACTCCCCACTCATTACAGACCATATATGCAAACTAAGCTGCAAAAGTTTTGAGCTCACTGCTTTTTGTGATGTCACAAAAACAAACACATGTATGCATATCAGCCCATGCAGTCTACGGCAGTTCAGCCCTTTTTAAATGAAGCACTATAGAAGGCAACTAATCAGAACAGATATGATTTAGCAAAAACAGCCTGTTTATTCTAAGGCCTATGTGTCAAACACAAGGCCAATCCGGCCTGCAAAGGTATTTTGATTTTCTATTAACATTAGCTCGTTTCGCAATGCGCTGCACTACAGTCCCCAGCATGCACTGCAATGTAATGTGCGCTGTGACTCTCTTACCCCAACAACAATCTATGGGACAGCAGTTACATCTCAATTCTACACAATTCCACAACAATCATATCAGTTCAGCTGCAGTTCAACCAACATAAACACTTAACGTCAGCTCAGCAGCTCAGAAACTGAGCCCAAGTATTAATTAACTTGCATTAAGGAAAAGATGCCAGGGTGTCTAGTTCAAGCAAATAGGTAGGTCTAAAAGACTGAGCTCCTGGGGACATTTAAACTTTGAATATTTCAAGTATTCACGTAATCTTTCAAGGTCTACTACAAGTGTTTATATTTTACTGCTGACGTTTTTGTGTATTTTGAATAAACAATGGCCAGTTCGGGTTACAGCACAACATTAATTAAAAATGAAATAAAGACATTCTTTCTCTGGCTCACAGATTTGATGAGTTTTTTTTTTTTTTATACAGCCCCTTCACTGGTTGAGTTTGACACCCCTGATCTAAGGGATAACGAGATGTTGGAAAATGGTCATGTAAAAGTTGCCACTGGTTTTGGTAGATAAAACCACACAGACATTCTAAATGAAACTCCAGGTCCAGATAAATGTTGAATATCGCTGTTGTCAGAACAAAACCTAGTATCTCCAAAATGGTAACTTAACAGGAGAAGGAAAAACTTACTCTACTTTTAATGCAAGTTAATGGAACCAGACATTTTTCCAAGAAATTTTGAGCCGTTTCTTTTGCTCCATTCACAATGAAATGAATACACAATGTCAACGGCATCAAGCATTTTCAAATTCGGTCAAAAATGGAAAAACGACAAATGGAGATAGAAGGTTTTCTTCCAACAGGAACGATATGCAACCTTTTGATTTTCCAGCTTAACTGAGAAATTCTGCATTGCGAAATACCCCACAGGATTGCTCAGTTAGCAAGATAACTTAACCGTTGTGTGGTGTTCAGGTCTGTGGGACCCACAGTTTCAATCTTTACCAAAAGAAAAATGTGTGATTTATTATTATTTCAACCTCAGATTCTTGGCCTTTTTCTCATTTTCTGTGAAGAACATATAAAATAACCCATTTTCAGTGTCTTCACTCTGTTCACCCCCCCACACATTTATATTACACATGTGGTGTTGGGTGAACCCGCGGGGAGTGAAGGTGTGGAGGTGCTGTGTCCTTCACTCTGTTCTCCTCCTGCATGGCCTGCTGTTAGTGTGTGTGTGTGTGTGTGTGTGTCTGTGTGTGTGGACAACATGGACAGGCTGCTGAGTGGCTACAGCTGCTAAAGGAGAACCCTACACTGGACACTTGTGATATTTTAAACATCTGGTATTTTTACATAAATCGTTGTGGCTGTATTGATTTAAAAAAACAATAACGTGGTGGGTCCAGCAGACCACTGAGTAACAAACACATCAACACCACACAAGGGTTAAGAAGAAAGTAAAGTCTGTGCAATAATAGGAGAGCAGTGCAATTAAGTGGGAGAATGAGAGGGGAAGGTGAAGACCCCAAACCTGCATTAGTGGGTTTGAAGAAAAAGGGGGAGATGACAGCGATGGCATCAGCTCCTACCGAAGCAGCATGACGAGCCTGCAGGAAACAAAGCAAACTTCATTCCTCATTTTCAAATGTCAGTCACAGGGACGCGGTTTCTGCACGTGCACAAAGACACTGAGGTCTCCAGAGAGAGAAGTGGGACAGAGACAGTGGAGCAGGGTTAACTTTGTAGAGTAAAAACTTTAAACAACTGTAAGGTTTGTTACCTGCAGTGTGTGTAGTTTTACAGTCTGACGGTAATAATTTTGGAGTGATTTTAATCCAGTATGAATCTGCAGTGTGTGTAGTTTTACAGTCTGACGGTAATAATTTTGGAGTGATTTTAATCCAGTATGAATCTGCAGTGTGTGTAGTTTTACAGTCTGACAGTAATAATTGTGGAGCGATTTTAATCCAGTATGAATCTGCAGTGTGTGTAGTTTTACAGTCTGACAGTAATAATTGTGGAGCGATTTTAATCCAGTATGAATCTGCAGTGTGTGTAGTTTTACAGTCTGACAGTAATAATTGTGGAGCGATTTTAATCCAGTATGAATCTGCAGTGTGTAGTTTTACAGTCTGACGGTAATAATTGTGGAGCGATTTTAATCCAGTATGAATCTGCAGTGTGTGTAGTTTTACAGTCCGACTGTAATAATTGTGGAGTGATTTTAATCCAGTATGAATCTGCAGTGTGTAGTTTTACAGTCCGACTGTAATAATTGTGGAGTGATTTTAATCCAGTATGAATCTGCATTTTAATTTAAATTAGACAACACAATGTGCTCCATCTGACCAGGGACAGAAACTAACAAAGTTAAATACATCAAATTTGATTTCAAGTTGACTTTATGATTACAGCACTGCAAACCAAAGGAATCTTTTTGAAAAGCATAAAACGAAAAGGTTCTGGCTGTTGCCTGACAATATAAAATATTTCTTAAACTTTGAATAAAGTCACTGTCCCGAAATTTGACACAATGAAACAGTATGAGAAAGATAAAGCACAAACAGCAGAACGCTCACCAGTTCCTGAGAGTCTTTTACATTCAAGCAGCCAACGTGAACGATAACCTGGTCAAGTCTGACAACAAACCAGACACGGACATTTTTAGCTTAAACCAGTACAAACAAACTGCTGACACAGTATCTGTAATTAACGAGTGTCTTCACTACATATATTGCACTTACTTCCCCTTACCCTGCCGGCACCACTCCTCTGCCAGCTGCTTCCTTTCCTCCACACTGAAAGAACAGCCTTCACCTGTGGTCCCATTTACTAGACCAAACAAGTACATTAGCCAGATTAGAAAAAAATAAACACCCATTCTTTCTCTCTCAGCACATTTAGGACTACAACTCACCAAACACACTCCGCACTCCCTGTTTCTCCAGCAGATAGTCGATATACGGCCCGATCAGGGGCAGGTTCAGCTCACTAGACACACCAGGAGAACAGACAATGCATCATGATACAGGCAAGGTGCGAAATACACCCATCAGGACCCCCTAAGTAACCTCTTGAACCCCTTGAATGTTTAAAACTAAAAATTTTGTGGGGTCCCTGAACATAAACTTATCATATTATGCTGTCTGTTAGAGAAACAAACTAATGAAAGTAAGAATTTAGCCTCCTTTACCCATGAAACGGCGAGATTCTGTCTTTAGTATTCTTAACTATGGCTGGGCAATTTGACAATATATATTGTTATTGTGATATATTATGTCACGAAACAACACAATATATATGACAACAAATTGTGGATATTGTCAGTACCTGTTCAACATTGACCAACTGCATGTTTCATTATAAAGGGAGCAAAATTTTAATGTTTTGCCACATTTAGCGCAACACAGAACGTCAAATACTGAATAAAATCATTGTGTTAGCAGTTTTTGATAGTATTTTTTAAATGTATCACTACCGGTTCTATTTTCTCAGTCCCAACTGATCAGATGTCTGAAAAAACTCTATTTTTGCCACACCCACCTCTATTCTTAACTAACTAGAGATGCAGCTCTGGTCACCCAGTTGGTCCTTCATAGCCTAGCAACTGTAACTATGCCTGGATACCTCTGGAAAAACATTGTATTATGCTGTAGCCTATTTGTAAACCTATAAACTGACCAAATTTTCCAACAAACTGGTGTAAAGAGTGAATTGTTACTCATTTCTCAAACGAAGACGAAAGAGGAGATGTGTAAGATCTCAGTTAATGTGCGGAACAGCGCGTTACCAAACTAGAAAAGAGCATTTCCAAAAAAATAATTGTTAAAGCAAACATTTTGTTGCCAGTGAAGCATCAGCTCGCCTATGGCAAGTCAGTTAGCAGCTAGCCAACACTGGAGTAGCCTGCCAACATGGGACCCCCAAATACCAGGTGGAATTTTGCACACTGGATACAGATTTACATTTCTGTATCTGTTTCAATGATCATATATTAGTCGATACTCTACAGAAATCGTTACACTTATTTGTACTGTGGGGTAAGATATTAAAATATTATTCAGTACCTAAATCACCGCGACCCAGAAGGATAAGCGGTTTAGATGATGGATGGATGGATGGAGTACCTAAATCTATAAATAAAGAGGAAAAGCTTTTTTACCCTTGTGGAGTGAGTGGAGTGAAGGTAGCTGCTATCAGCCCTGTGAGCTGCCCCGTACCAGGAGACATCCCTGTTTTATAACACAAACGAGACACTTTATGGCCACACCTGAAGTATTAAAGGAGCTACATCATTAAAAAAAACAAATTCCTCACTTTTTGGAATTAAATGATTAATATGCAAACATGATTAAAGTTCCAAGACGTACCATTTTCATGTATCAATTTTACGTTGAGGAACATTTTTTTTTTTTAATTGTTCCACAATTTTTAGATGTAATTTTTCGCAGATTGGTGAACCTCTGTCCTTTGCTTCTGAGACTCTGCCTCTCTAAAACGCTCTTTTTATTCCCAGTCATGTGATTTAGTTGCAAATTGCTCCTCCAGCTGTTTTTTATTAGTACCACTTACTTTTCCAGCCATTTGCTGCCCGTCCCAACTTTTTTGAGATGTGTTGCTGCCATCAAGTTCTAAATGAACTAATGTTTTTCATGAAATGGTAAAATGTCTCACTTTCAAATTGAATATGTGTTCTATGTTCTATTGTTAATAAAATGTGGGTCTTTGAGATTTGCAAATCATTGCATTTGGTTTTTATTTACATTTATTTACATTTTACACAGCATCCCAACTTTTTGGAATTGGGGTTGTAATAATGGGGGTGGGGGGCTGTAAACCATGCAAACGTATTCTGTGGAGGGATGAATCAGCTTCTCTATCTGTCAGTCTGATGGGCGAGTCTGGGTTTGGTGAATGCCAGGAGAACGTTACCTACCTGACTGCACTGTGCCAGCTGTAAAGTTTGGTGGAGGAGGGATGATGATATGGGGTTGTTTTTCAGGGGTTGGTCTAGAACCCTTAGTTCCAGTGAAGGGAAATATTAATGCTTCAGCACCAAGACATTTTGGACAACTGTACGCTTCCAACTTTGTGGGAACAGTTTGAGGAAGAACCTGTTCTGAACCAGCATGACTGAGCCCCAGTGCACAAAGCAGCTCCATAAAGTCATGACTGGGTGAGTTTGGTGTGGAAGAACTTGACTGGCCCTCACAGAGCCCTGATCTCACTAGAATGAAGACTGTGAGCCAGAACCTCTTGTCTAACATCAGTGTCTGACCTCACAAATGAGCAAAAATTCCCACAGACACTCTCCAACATCTTGTAGAAGCTTCCCAGAAGAGTGGAAGCTGTTACAGCTATAAAGGGGGGACCAACTTTATATTAATGCCTATGGATTTAGAATGGGATTCATAAAAGCTCCTGTAGGCGTAATGTGTAACCTAGGTGTCCCAATACTTTTGTCCATGTATTGTATAATAGGTGACATACAGGGTGACTATAGCCCTCACTTTTGGCTTAAGCTATCAAGCATATTGAAAAATCCTATCAGTGCATTTGTTTTTGTGCTTTGAATAAGAGAAACCCAAAAAAGTTACATGACTGAAGTCAATGAGCACAGCTAACGTTTTTCCCAAAGATCTACAGCTTTCTTTACATGAAATGTGAGCTGCTTACCTAGCTATCTTTCCGGTCCGACCCGTCGCGTCCGTCTTCCTTGGCTGAGGCGCTCCAGCAACAACAGCAGAGCACCTACTTATTTGCTGAGTTCGCATCAGGTAGCAGGGAAGCCATACGGCAGTCACATGAAGCCTCGGGGACTCTGGGAAATGTAGTTCGTAAACAAACGTACCTCTCCGGCACAGGGGCGCCGTCCAATAGGATTCTTTGGGGCGGGGTAGTAGGCGTGTCAGAAGAGTAGGCGTCATTTCTATTGGCCAACATCGCTGTCAGTCATAAAGAAAGCTTGTTTACAGTTCGATTGACAGAAAGTTTAATACTTTAAGAAATATTTTCAGCGCACGTTATCACTTCCTGGACAAGCCAAACGGTGAAAATGTACGAATAAAATAAAACAAAATTAGAAGAACGCAAAAGACTAGTTTAAATGGTAGAAATGGACCAATCAGGGCTCAGAACGGCGTCGCACGTTATGAAATCTTTTTTCGGAGACAAAGATTTCACCAAATAATGTAGACACACGATATGAAGGCAGAAAATATGAACGTGTTTTCGAAACGGTTATGAAAAAAAAAACAAAACAAAACGAAAAAAGCTGACGTCAGGTTGTGTCTGTTACCCGGATGTAGCCCTGTGACGTCTCCCTCCTCCCCGAAGAACTTACGGGGGCAGCATCCGGTGATTTTAGCCACCGGGACACAAAAACGAGAAATACCCGAGTCTGCCGGACTTGAGGCTCGGAAGGAGGGCTGAACTTGCTACCCAGGAGGCTCACCATCAACCCGAACCGACTCTTCAACCACGGCTGAGCTCAGCAAGCTTCTCGCCTTGCTGATCAGCCAGCTAGCCGTAAGCTTCCCCCCTTTAACCCGGAGCGGCGGCGGTAGCAGCTGTGACAACAAAAACCGAGGAAACCGAGCTGTCAGCGACCAGCTCAGCAAAAAAGGACCCTGGAAATCAAGCAGGTTCGCCTAATAGACTGTCAGCTTTACTGGTAGGCTGTTTTAGGGTTGTCGACTTGAGTCCTGCCATGAATGGTTAAAGGGAAACCCTGTAAAATACGGAAAATATCGCCTACAAACAAGGCTGCCAGCTGATCAGAAAGCCCGGTGCTCAGGTGATTCTAACTGACAACACGGCTGTTTTCCAGCTTTCTGTAGGGTTAGTTTCAGAACAGGGGACGAAGCGAAAAGCACAGCTGGGGTGGTTTAGTCTGACAGCAGCCCATCCTGTCTGGCTGTGTTCAAAGGGAAAAGCCGGCTTCTCTTACTTCCATGCTTGTTTAACTTAGAGGTCTGAGTTTGTGTACTTTGTGTTGTGTCAGTGTCGAGTAACATGCCAGCGTGTCAGGTAAGTCCGGGACGTGTAGAGGCGGCCAGGTAAGGCGAGCTGGTGAAAGAAGAAGAGCTGAGAATTTAGAATAAAAGGGCCTTATTTCCTCCTTTAAGCTCTGCCTTGTTCTCTTGTAGGCCCTTTTGTACTTTTCAAAGCAAAAGAACTAACAAAAGGACTGCTCAGAAGACCCTTACAGAAGCCCACTGTCAGCATGGACCTCTGACAGGTGAAGGAGTGAGTCTGAACAGGTGGAGCTTGACCATCGTTGGCGTTTGGTGTTATCTGAGTTAAAATATGCTTCAGAGATGGTGCATTTATAGCATTTATAAGGTGGCATAGAGTTCAGAGAGGATGGCTTGCTGAGTACAGTCATGGTTAGAGGCTGCCTGTCGTGACACCAAGTTATATAAGAGTCGTGTGGAGGTTGGGGATGTTTCGTCCGGCGACGATGTCGCCCGCTTTCGTGCTGCTGCTGCTGGGCTTCTCCGTCCGGCTCTCTCAAGCCATGACCAGAGACGAGAAGCACAGACTGAGGTATGTGGTTTATTCGTTACACCACTTAGACGTTCACTTCTTGGTGATGTACGAGATTTAAAGTGGCAGAAAGTGATGTGTGTGCACTAACCTGACTGTTTTTTTTCTCCTACAGGAATCAGGTGGTGGAGATGTTTGACCACGCTTATCAGAATTACATGGTAAGCCAACTGTCAGTGCCTTGTTCTAGAGAAGAGTGATATGACTGTTTTATTTCTTTAGTGCAGCTGGAGAGCAGTGCTCCTCAGGGGCGTTTGAGGTTGGTCACTAGAGTCTGACTGATGTTGTTTGTCGGATAATATCGACCGATATTGGCTGCCCCCAGTTTTAGTGGTATCGGCACTGATAATGTGCGATAATTACTTAGCTTTTGGGTGTTATTAGTAGAGATAGTACTAGGGGTGAAAGATGAATTGCGTTTATATCGAAATCACAATTTTTTAAATCACAGGAACAGCATTTTTTTTTTAAAATATGGTCTACATTATAAAAACACTTTTAAATTTTAAAATTTTAAGTGGGGAAATTTAACCTAGTAACACAGACCTTGTGAACTGCTGTAGGTAAGTTAGACCAGGGGTGTCCAAACTTTTTCAAAGAGGGCCGGATCAGACCATGTCGGAATAACTCAGGGCCTAAATATTGTTCACAAATGATTCAACAATGTTAAGTTTTCAAAATATGAAAATTACAACCATGTAAAGCATCGAGTCCAAATGTGCATCTAGCTGGCAATTCATTCCAAAAACGTGGTGAAAACCCCTTAAACGCATATAAAACTGCCGCTAGAAGAGTCACGACTCGACACGTGCATGTTAAGAGTTTCTTATTACTGTATAAAAGATGCATTTATTGCTAGGTTGCTCTTTCAGAGCAATTTGGGTTGGTAAATACTTATAACAAATTACTGATTTATTTATTTAGAGTAACAACAAAACATGACTAATGTATTATGTCTATTCATATTCAAGTGTTTAGTTGTTCAAAAATCTAATAAATAAAAATCAATGAATATTCGGTTGTGTTCTATTCAGAAATCACTTTATTAAACGAATGAAGCAGATTAAACAACATAAATAGCCTTCGCTGTAAGTGTACGGTAGTGCTGCCACCATCAGGTAGAAGGGAGAATTGCGGCGTACTGGCTGGCTATAACACACTCTAAAACAGAAGCCTCAGGCCAATTAAAACCTATACACAGGCCTCATTTGGCCCTATAGGGCCGGACTTTGGACTCCCCTGAGTTAGACCAATTGGGGCAACCAAACCTCCATGTGTTGTGCCATCACAACCACAACTTACTGGCAGTCTGGCACTACATTCAGGGGTCAAGCCTCTAGCCAGAAAAGGTCGATATTCCGGTTTTCTTGGCTAAAAAGGCCGTTCGGCCCCAGATAGTACCACTGTTTTATTTTCCGATATTGATATTGAAACCCAGAGTATCAGTTGATAGCAATCAGGTATTTATTCTTCAACGACTACTGAGCTTTAAAGTGAACCACGTGACACGACACAATGTCAAAATGTGCTAATTTAGGTTAGATTCGTTACTGGAATGGGCAAAATGGAAAAGATACACAATACTTCACATATTTTGACACAGACAAAAGATGCTACTAGTGTCATATTCAAAAATTTTAATCAAAAACCTGTGTATTAAAAACACAAAGCAGGACTAATTATGCCTTCTTTATAAGGCAGTATGCATCCACAGGATGCTCAGAAAGGCGTGTTGTTTATCAGAATAATAAAGGAAATGAGCGCAGTAATGGTAAAATATCGTCGTATTGCTCACCTCTGTTTGTTGGAGTATTGAATTCATTCCCTTTTCCCTCCGATATCCAATCCAGAATGCTGATATCAGCACCTTTACCTGGTATGTGATCAGTGCTGTCTCTTATCAGTCACTGAAATTTTATTATAAATCAGTTATTAGTCACTGCAACGAAAATATCTATTATTTGTTCTAAGTGCTCACTGACGCACCAGCTACTTCCAGTGAGGTCATGTCGCGTCCGCCCACACCGCCGTAGAGATTAGCGTAGATAACGTAAGTGGTCCGGCCCTGCATTGTTCTGAGTAATGCCCTAATTTGTGTCTGAAATAGGATTTGGCTGTTTTGGTTAGGTTTATTTTCACGTGTCTGTATCTTTTCTGTGTTCAGTTTCAGTCTGTAGCCCCTTTTTCTGCTGTGTGTGTCTGTAAGACTGAAATCCTCTTTGTTTGTCTCTGACACTTTACTTAGATTAGCAGCTCTGAGTGGCTTTTCATAGGGTTTTGAAACGTAATGCCACGTGTGGGCCAGACGCGGATAATGCCGTAGTGTGCCGGTTGGAGTGAGTGTTGACAAGTGACGGGGAGTGGGGGGAGTGGGGGGAGTGGGGGGGCTGTGGAGACTGTAAATGGTACAGTAGGGTCTTCAGTGGGTTCACTGTCTTCTCACATCATTCTCTCTATTATTTACTTACGAAATTCTCTCTCTCTGTCTTTCCTTCTTTCTCTGTGTGTCTATTCTTGTTTTCCTCTTTTGTTTGTGTACTTCTCTCTCTCTCTCTCTCTCTCCTCTCTCTCTTTCTTTACCTGCCTCTTTCTCTACATCTCTATGCCTTTCTCTTCTTTATTTTCCCTTTCTCTTTTTCTCTCTCTCTCTCTCTTTACTTCCCTCTTTCTGTACATCTCTATACCTTTCTCTTCTCTCTCTCCCCCTCCCCTCACTCTCTATCTTTACTTCACTCTTTTTGTACATCCTAATGCTTTTCTATGCTGTGTTCTTTCTGTCTCTCTTTCTCTCTTTCTTCTCACTCTCTTTCTGTATTTCCATCTTTCTGTACCACTCTATACTTTTCTCTTCTGTTTCTATCTCCCTCTCTCTCTTTCTTTACTTCCCTCTTTCTGTACATCTCTCTCTCTCTCTCTCTCTGTCTCTCTCTCTCTCTCTTTCTGTATTTCCGTCTTTCTGTACATCTCTATGCCTTTCTCTTCTTTATTTTTCCTTTCTTCCTCTCTCTCTCTCTCTCTCTCTCTCTCTCTCTCTCTCTCTTTCATTCTCTATTTCACTCTTGCTGTACATCTCTGTACCTTTCTCTTTTTTGTTTTCTCTCCCTCTCTCTCTCAGGACCATGCCTACCCAGCAGATGAGCTGATGCCTTTGACGTGCCGAGGACGGGTACGAGGGTTGGAGCCCAGTAGAGGAGACGTGGACGACGCTCTGGGGAAGTAAGTCCAGAGAGCGGTGGAGAGATGATACATAGTGCCCACAACTGAACACCTCTGTCAGCAGTGAGTGCAGAGTAGGTGAATTCTTGAATTAGGAGGGGAGTCTGGATACTTTTGGACAGCGTAACGTGTTAAATGCTTAATATCATCTATCAACTAAGCTGTTATTGGAGAAGACAACAAAGGTAGGGTTTTTTCAGTTAGCCTGAAAACTTAAAGCTAAAGACAAGTGTCGCAGTAAGCCACATGAAGACTGGAGAGTCTCACTTTGAGCTTAAAAATTCCAGTTTTGTAAAATCTCCTGGGCCTGGAAAGCTAGAACGCTCATATTGTCTCTGCGGTGTGTTTGTGTTTGTGCAGGTTTTCTCTCACCCTCATCGACACTCTTGATACTCTGGTGGTGAGTAAAACTTTAAGTGAGATATATAAACCCTACCTTTGTTTGTATAAGTCGAAGACAAATCAAACATGCTCCATCTCTGACGTGTCCAGCTGCTGAATAAGACGGCGGAGTTTGAGGAAGCTGTGAAAAGGGTACTGAAGGACGTCCGTCTGGACAATGATATTGTGGTGTCAGTCTTCGAGACCAACATTCGAGTGCTGGGGTGAGCAAGTGATCACTTTTACTCAGAGTGACTAGAAAACTGCTGGAACATTGTAGTGGTGTGTTGTCATTTAGGAAGGTCACCAATGACTATATTAGTAATCGAGCAATGTACCAAGTATTTTGATGATTAAGAAAATAATCAACGGCTTAACTCAACTTAATTAATGGCTATTACTGAACTTAATTCAGTAATAGCCAATGCTTAGACTTTTAAAGAGTCCAGAATACTTTGTTGGAACAGGCAGCATAAATAAATAATGTGTCTTATATCTGTCAATATTAGAAATATTAGATATTAAAAATGCATTAAAATCATGCAGATTGCCAGCTAATCACTGCCAAGATTCAATAAGAAGGTCAATTATAATTGATACTTGAAGCAATTAATTGAGGTTAATATGTTGATTGTGCATTTTGTTTACCGCTCCAAGTTCTCTACAAGAATGTTAATGAAACTGGAGTCATTAGAAATTCGCAGTAGAAATTATGTCCCTGCATTTACACCACATGAACAGTTCCCAGTGTTCATTTGGGCCCAATCCCATTTCACCCCTTGCCCCTACCACTTAGCCCTTACCCCTCCGTTTTTGTGCGTTCCACCTTAAATGGTGCAGCAGTTCTGATGCCTGACGCACCAGAATGTAACTGCTGCATGATTTAAGGTGGAACGGGAAAATTTGAACGAGAAGCCGGCGAATAGCTGACTTCAGATTTATATCACTGAAGAATTAGGGGTTGGCGATAATAATAATAATTAATAAATAATACATAATTATCGCATTTCCCCCCTTTGAAGGCATATGATGCCCTAAATGTAACTAAAGCCCAGCAGTGAGGAGCTGAACTTTAACTTATAGAGCACTGCTAGTTGCCTCTTAATGAAATAATGTTTTTATTTGAGGGTCCCATTTCATAGGGAAGATTTCAACCACTACTGCTTGTAATTCAGTTCCAAGATGCAAGATAACACTCAAAAACGAGATGGGGTGAAAATAGGAAATGGGATTGGGCCTAAGTCTTGTTTAATTGGGCCTAAGTCTTTCATTATTTAAGCTAGTGCAGCTAACATTACACATAATCTGGTGAGGGCTAGTGGGCATCCTTGATCTTGTTTAGAATTAACTTCTCAGCAGTGGTGAGATTTTTGGCTGGACTGTTCTTTTGGGTATATTTGATGACGTGTGTGTGTGTTTCTGTTTAGGGGGCTGCTGGGGGGACATTCGATGGCAGTGATGCTGAAAGAGAGAGGAGAGCGCATGCTCTGGTATCAGGATGAACTCCTGCACATGGCCAAAGACCTGGGGATTAGACTACTGCCTGCATTCAACACCAGCAGCGGCCTGCCTTACCCCAGAGTGAGTACACAACTCTGAGGAACCCTCAGTGCCTTCTAGGCCTTCAGAAGAGCTTTAATAGAACTTATATAAGTCATTTTTAGTGCATTCTATGTAATTGAATCTTCATGCTTGTTGTGTGTAAACTCTGCAAGTATTGTACTGATTCTCATGTTTCAGTGTTAAGTTTTGGTGGGAAGCAATTCGGTTGAGGTCTTGAAATGCCCAACAAAAAACTGACCAATCAGTATTTTCTCTCTTGTGATATCTAGTTGGGTACAGGCAAGTGAGCTCTCCCATTGGTCAGGCTTTCAGGAGCTGGGCTGAGGGCCTTACACATTCGATTAAAAGCAAAATTCGGAAAAAATAAAAATCAAAATTTCACAAAAGAAGATTTTACACTCAGATGAAAAAGTTGGGTTATCAATAAAAGTGGAAATGCAAAAAAGGTGACGGCAACAGCTTTTTCAAATAAACGTTGACACAGTTGGAACAAAAGACACGTTTGGCTCTGTGTCTTCTCGGAGCTGGTCTGGAGGCATCCATAGGGGTTCAGCGGGTGACGCTGAAGTAGGACAGCGACTTCATCTGTCATTAAATGTGCCATTACCCGCTCTGCTCCACCCGGCGTCTCTGAACTGTTAGGGATACGGCCACATACTGTAAATGAGTACTGTCGAAATTGCTCTAACAGGAGACAGTGAGGATTCAACTTCCTTCATTATATGTGCATGTAAACATTTGAATGGAACTCTTCTAGAGGCTTGTCCTGTCGTAGATTGGGTGTGCACATCCACACACACACACAACAACTGCTGTCCACATTTTGCACATTCAATACCAGCAGTGCACTGTCTTATCTTGTGTAAATACATATTATTTCACAGCTCACAGCCTGCTGTGTTCCCACAGACCTTGAAAAACTGGTTACAGGAAATAGACACATGCTTGAGCAAAATTACAAACACACTGTGAGGCATGTTTGGTTGTATCTTTGGAGCTCTGTTCTGAATTTAACACAGAAATTGGCACAGGGAGGTTCCTGAAATGTCCTCGAAGTTCCTGTCACAACACACATACTCACATTCTCTCTGTCTCACGGTGCAGCAGCCTGGTTGAAATACCATCACTGAGATGAAAAAATGTACTTCGGTGACTCAGAGCAGTTGGGTTTGAACATATTTTTGTAGTGTGACACACGGGTTCTGGGGTGAGTGGGCCGAGACAGCGTGTTGGCTGAGCAATCACATTATGTGAATGACTGATCTCCACCCAGCTGCCCCTAGATTCCCAAATACCCTAAAACCTCTAAAACCTCTCAGTAATGCTCTTCAGTTATTGCTCATTTATCACATGCCAGAGAACTCTTATATGGTCTGTGGGGCATATTTACTAACATTTTGCGTCATCACAAATATTGTTGCACCGATACTGTATCTGTATCGGCGCAGTATCAGTATTGGTGATGGGGCACTGATACCTATAAAACACATTTCTGACGCATGCATGCGCATTACTAGACAGAATTAACAACACGTTGGCAGTTTGGGACGACAGCAGTAAAAATGCTCATAGCAGAATCTGTAACAGCAGTTTTTGGTGTGAAAAACACGCTAACGGAGCTGCTTACCCGAATGGCTGAGCTGCGTCTTTCAGTATCACTCGTCTGCCGCTGTGTGGTCACTTACAGTCTGAGTTAATGTTATTGGGAGAGCGGAAGGAACCGCCGGATTCTCGGCATAATGATAGCCTTTAGCCTTGATTTAGCTTTAAGCATAGCAGCCCGCTCGCCGGGCCTGTGCATCCGCTGGCCCACCTGCGGTGCACCTCCGTCGTTCAGCTGTATCACTTGGCAGCGGGGTCTCACTGAAATAAAATAAATTGAGATTTTTTTTTTTTGTTTCTGCCAGTAGGACAAAGCAGGGATGCAGGACACGGGGGTGCTGCTGATTTCAGGACTGCAACCCTTAAAAATAATAATAATAGCAAAAGAAACAAAATGAAATTTTTAATAATTTGACCGTAGTAAACACCCTAAGCGCTTGTTTAATTGTTCTGAAATGACTCTTAATTTTGTGTTGACACTATTTGGGTCTATTTGACCTTTAGGTCAACCTGCGGCATGGAGTTCAGGGTCCTGAGACTCGAACAGGCACTGAGACGGACACCTGTACCGCCTGTGCCGGCACCATCATCCTGGAGTTTGCTGCTCTGAGCCGCTTCACCGGTGACCCTGTGTTTGAGGTAACGGCCCTGATGTTTGGTTTAATCCCTTTACATTTACCAGCCTTCCAATCCGCTGAGTAATAACTCAGTCTGGTACATGTAATTACTGATTAATAAACCTTTGACTGCACAAAGGAGCTTAATGGTTAAAATAATAGAGGCATACTATATGTTTAAAATGCATATCGTTGCTGTCCAAAGAAAAACAAGTATCTTCAAAATAATACCTTCACAGGAGAGGGCAAAAACATTCTTTATTTTCAATGTAAGTTGATAGAAAGAGATTTTATTCTAAGCAATTTTAGAGCATTTCTATTGGTCCAATCATCATGAAATTTTTACACAATGTGAAGGAAGACTGCTGAGCTGAAATGATGCAGAAAAGTAAAAATCGCAAAAAATAGAGATGCCTGTTTTTCATTGGACAGCGATGATATACATGTTTACAGACTCCATATTTGGGAAGTTAAAAGTCAAGCTAAAATAAATAAATGTTTTGGAAATGTTTCATATGATCCCACATATTTAAAGTATCTGAAGCAAATGTTTGATATGTGACATGCTTAAAGTTAAGTAGATATTATATGTTTTTAAAACATATATTGCCTCATAGCGCATCTCATATCAAAAGACAAGAATTATACATTGATAAAATTGATTTTGTTGGTGATTTTTTTCTGTCTAGAGGACATCATAGTGCAAATAATAAATTAACTTGTCTTATAACTGTAGTAAATGAAATAAGTGTAAATATTGTATAATGAGGCACTCTGAACAGTGTTGATTTGTTATGTTTAGGCCCATGCAAGGAGAGCTATGGACTTCCTGTGGGAGAAAAGACAAAGAAACAGCAACCTAGTGGGAAAAACCATCAATATCCACTCTGGAGAGTGGGTTTGCAGGGGTAAGGCTGTCCGTTCTAGACCGTGCCATTATTCTTGCAATGCTGCTGGACTGAAAATGGATTATGAATTTATTTCCACATTCTGTGTCTTGGCAGACAGTGGCGTAGGAGCAGGCATTGACTCATACTACGAGTACCTCCTGAAGGCCTACATTCTTCTAGGAGACGACCAGTTTCTTCAGCGCTTCAATATTGTGAGTTTACACAGCTCCTTCATTATTCCACGTTATTCTCTTGGTTGAGTTCATGTTTTCACTCGTGTTTTTATGCCAAGTATTCCAGGATGGGTGTGGCCATTGAATATATGCTGATTATATCATTTGAATATATCCTGATTCACTGCGGTATTCATCTTCTTAAAAAATGAAAAAACTGCTTTTTTATTTGATTATTTTTATAGTTTTTGACTGAACGTGTAATGCAGAATGCTGTGGTAATACATGTGGTCACTAGGGTGTTGCTTGGTGGTTGCTATTGTATCTTTGTTGATTGCTAAGGGGTTGCTATGGTATCCCACGTGGTTGTGAGGTTGTTGCTAGGTGATAGCTGTAGTATCACAGGTGGTTACTAGGGAGTTGCTAGGTTGTTACAGCAGTGTTCCAGATGGTTGAAAGGAAGTTGCTAGTTGGTTGCTTTGGTGTTCCAGGTAGTTACTAAGGAGCTGTTTGGTGGTTGCTGTTGTATCTCTATTGGTTGCTAAGGGATTGCTTGTCAGTTTGTTGCTAGGTGGTAGCTGTATCACAGGTGATTACTAGGGAGTTGCTAGGTTGTTCCAGCAGAGTTCCCGATGGTTGAAAGGGAGTTGCTAGTTGGTTGCTTTATTGTTCCAGGTATTCACTAAGGAGCTGCTTGGTGGTTGCTATTGTATCTCTATTGGTTGCTAAGGGATTGCTTGCCAGGTTGTTGCTAGGTGGTAGCTGTATCATAAGTGATCACTAGGGAGTTGCTAGGTTGTTCCAGCGGAGTTCCAGATGGTTGAAAGGGAGTTGCTAGTTGGTTGCTTTATTGTTCCAGGTATTCACTAAGAAGCTGCTAGGCAGTTGCAATTGTATCTCTATTGGTTGCTAAGGGATTGCTTGCTAGGTTGTTGCTAGGTTGTAGCTGTAGTATCACAGGTGATTACTGAGAAGTTGCTAGGCTGTTGCAATGGTGTTCCAGATGGTTGAAAGGAAGTTGCTAGTTGGTTGCTTTGGTGCTCCAGGTAGTTTCTAAGGAGTTGCTTGGTGTTTGCTGTTGTATCTCTGTTGGTTGCTAAGGGGTTGCTATGGTATCCAGGTGGTTGCTAGGCTGTTGCAACGGTGTTCCAGATGGTTGAAAGGAAGTTGCTAGTTGGTTGCTTTGGTGTTCCAGGTAGTTTCTAAGGAGCTGCTAGGTAGTTGCTATGGTGCTGGTTTTTAAAGTGTTGCTAGGTGGTTGCTATGGTCTTTCAGGTGGATTCTGTGGTCTTCCAGGTGGGTGCTAGGGTGTTGCTTTATTAAAATGCATGTTATTTGTACAGCAAAAATAGTTCAAAAGCCCATCCAAAATCTAAGTATGCAGTACAAAAATATTTAAAAAATTCATTTGAAAATGAATTTTGAAAACATCCATTTGGAGTGTAATCGGTAGAATTTTGGGTAAAAATTTGTGTTTGTTTATGTTTGCTCGTTGTGTGTTGCTTTGTGTGTAAACATGTTTTGACCACCTTCTGAGGTTACATTCTGCTGAATGAAAAAAGTGTCCTGTGTTTCTGTGATGTTAAATAAGGTCGTCCTGGCTCATTTTCCTTCTGGTTGTGTTTCAGCACTATGCGTCCATAATGAAGTACATTAGCCAGCCTCCCCTGCTGCTGGACGTTCACATCCACAAACCCCTGCTGCCCGCCCGCACATGGATGGACTCCCTACTCGCTTTCTTCCCTGGTCTGCAGGTGGGGCTAAAATGTTTGGACATGACGCTAATGATCTATCGACTATTATTTGATTTATTATGTAATTGAACTATTATGCCTTCTGAGCTTTCCTCTCAATTTTAACATTATAGAACAACACTTTTGTGTTGTGTAAATAACACGACTGATTGTCTAATTGTTGCAGGCTTAAGTAGAATATCGCTGCTGTCGGAAGAAAACCTTGAATCTCCATTTTTGATGTTTTTCGGTTTTTGACATAATTTGAAAATGCGTGTTGCTCTTTACGTTGTATGTAAATTTCATGATGAATGGAGCAAAAGAAATGACCCAGAATTACTTGGAAAAAATTCTGGTTCCATTGACTTACATTAAAAGCAAAGTAGGTTTTTTCCTTCTCCTGTAAAGTTATCATTTTGGAGATATGACGTTTTCTTCCGACAACAATGATATGCTTTTTTAATAAGGCCTCAAACACAGCCTCAAAAAGAAGGTCCTGCTCAATGTTTAGATATAAAATTAACATTATGAAGATATGATGAAGATATGAAGACAATAGTAGACAATTCTCTTACATCAAGTCCTATGCTGTGTGCAATTACACATTTCCACCAGAGAGGTCTCCAAATCCCAAATCTTACCTAGTGCAGCTTTAAGTAAACAACATGTCAACTTTTTTATATTTGACATTGTTGATGAATAATCAACAGCTGCTGTCCTGAGAAGTACAACAAGGGAAGGGTGATGGATGGATGGATGAATGGAATGAATGAACCAGCGATTGAATCATAATATAGATTAAATGAGGAATAGGTTAATGAATGTGTGGAAAGAATGTTATAGATTAAATAAGGAATAAGTTAATGAATATATCAATGTTATTTCGATGGTGATTCGCTCCCCAAAAGTGTAAGACATACACTAAAAGTTAACACAACAGCAATATGAAACTGACTGGACCTTTACTGTACGATGTATTCCTCCGACATACATTTTTTACTTGATGATGCATTCTCGTAGGTGTTGAAAGGGGATATCCGGCCAGCCATTGAAACCCATGAAATGCTGTATCAAGTCACCAAAAAACACAACTTCCTTCCTGAGGTAGGTTCCTCTTTTTTTTTGTCGAGTCTGTTTGAAATGCCTGTGTTATGAGACAGCACCGTTTTAATCACTCAGTTGCACCGTGCTTCTGCACTTTGCTCGACTGTCTCTCTGATTCTTTCTTGCTCACACCCTGTTTCCCTTCTGTAGATACCCATCTCTCTCACTTGCTTTCTCTCACACCCTCCCTCTTCTCCTTCAGGCGTTCACTACGGATTTCAGGGTACACTGGGCACAGCATCCTCTGAGGCCAGAATTTGCTGAGAGCACTTACTTCCTTTATAAGGTATGAGTTTTGTAACAGGCTGTCCATGACTCAGTCTACCCACCACATACTCTAGAAAAGAGTTTTCCATGTCAAGACATTTGCATTTACAGCATTTAGCAGATGTTCTTATCCAGAGCGACTTACAAAAGTGCTTGGTTGTCTACCCAGAGAAATGATCTTCACTAGTTACAAACAGGTTAGAGAGAAAGCTGGTCCTGAGCTCAGATACTGCTAGAAGCAAAAGCCCCTGTTGATACCCAGAGAAAAAGAAACAGAATTAAACAGGCGCACTACAATACATTTCAGTAAGTGTTGTACGATACATTATAATACGTACTTAACTTCACTTAAGTGCCGTATAAAGAGATGTGTCTTCAGTCTGCGTTTGAAGAGACTCTGCTGTTCGGGCAGCCAGTGGGAGTTCGTTCCATCACCTGGACTCCAGGACAGAGAAGAGTCTTGATGCTTGTCTTACACGCGTCTTGAAGGATGGCGGGTCAAGCCGAGCTGTACTTGAAGCTTGAAGGGCTCGAGGGTACGGTTCGAGTTTTGACCGTTGCCATCAGGTCGGGAGGGGCTGGTCTGTTTTTGGCTTTGTATGCATCAGGGTTTTAAATCTGATGCGTGCAGCTACAGGCAGTGAAGGGAGCGCAGCAGTGGAGTGACATGACTGAACTTAGGAAGATTGAGGCTTCGTGTGCTGCATAGAAAGACCAGCCAAGATTGTCTTGAGTGAGAAAGGGTCGAATCTCCTGGATGTTGTACAGGAGAAACCTGCATGACCGAGTCAATTCTAGACTTTAATCCTTTAATCAAGATTCATCCAGTCAAACACAATACCATATGATATCAGGCATACCTTGACACATACTTGTTCTGTATTTAGTTGTAACTCATTCAGGGCCTGAACGATATACCAGATGGCTGGTAATGTCAGCCGATATTGATGACCAGCGTTTTTTTTTGTATTGGCAAACACATTGTTTTAATGGGCCGATAATTACTGACTTTCTTTGGTCACGGCATCGGTCACAGTGCTTCAATATTTGTTATTGAAGATGGTGAGTTTTTGCTGTGTATGTGAGTTTAAGAAGGCAGATCTGCAATAATATATGGCACTAATATTCAGTCAGACATTAAATGTCTTATTAAATTTTTTCCTGGTCCATTCTGTCAGCCAGCTTAGTATGCAAGCTATTGCTGTACTCACTGTTTCTTTTGTCGCAACATTCACTAGCTTTCAGTGGTGGACAGTAATGAAGTAAATGTAACTGGTTACTGTACTTAAGTAGTTTTTCCGTGTATCTGTACTTTACTGAAGTATTTCCATTTTGGGTGACTTGTTACTTTCACTCCACCACATTTCAAAGTCAAATATCTGACTTTTTACTCCACTACATTATGAGAAATCTGTTGTTCCTTTTGGTTTATTTGTGCATAAAAACGTAACGTCAAAACGAAAGAAGCGCGAAGCAAGAACACCAATCAGGGCACAGCTTTGTTTTGAGCTTGTTTTGACCTGTTGGGACATACTGACCCAGTGCAGCACACGGTTCAACATCAGTGCAGCAGCGTAAAAGTTACCTAACAAATGATGGAAGGAACTCCTGACTCTAACCAAACTTTGTGTAAATAGACCACAATATAGAAATATGTACACATATACAGTTGTGACTGGTTTCTTTTTTCTGAATTTATACAAACACTATTTTATTTCATAGTAAATTCATTTTTGCTAGTTTATGTTTATGAACAGAGACCTACAGATGCAGTTTAGTAAAGGAAAACTCATTTGTGAATCTGAGTTTAAAGCAAGTTTTTATTAAACTTAAACTCGTTTAAATTTAGAGTCTTGTAACAAAATGATAATAGGACATTAGAGCCATAATTAACCTTTGAGTACTTTCACTTTTGATCCTTAAGTACATTTGAAAAGCAAATACTTTTGTACTTTTACTCAAGTGGAGGTCTAAAGGGAGGAACTTACACTTTTACTGGAGTAATATTTTACCTTGGGTGTCTCTACTTTAACTCAAGTACATGGTTTGTGTACTTCGTCCACCACTGCTAGCTTTACAGGAAACTGGTGGATGTAAACATTGTACCACCTGCTGGTTAAATAATGGCAATGTTTACATTTCCTCAATACTGTCCTGTGTAGTTAAGAAAAACCATTTGTGTGGCTTACTGGCCCCACACTGGGTTGCAAACCACAGTGTGTTAACCTTTGTTTTACATAACCTGTGGAATATTTGCATTATCTGTAAAATATTTGCTGAGGTGTCCTTCTGGGTCTTCCAACGTTCATACAGTAGAGTTTCCCATGCTGACACATTTCCTGCATTCTACAGTATCAAACTCCTGCTAAACAGGTTCTAGTTTACCAGAAGCTGTGTAGAACAGTGGAAATGTCACTCTGCTGAGTAGCGATGATTGGCATGCCACAAACATTTTGCAAAACTCTCCTAGTCTCAATTCTGGCAGCCGCCTGGAATTCATCAGTGATGAGTGGAACTGGTACGGCTTTACTGTGGAACTGACAGGATTAAGTCAAAACTAGGCCCAACATTTTGGTGGGCAGGGGGGCTCGAAAAATAAACTTAACAGGAGCATGAATTAAACTTAATTTAATTTACAGTTCCCTTTTAACCCATTGTTTCCCCACCCTGATCCTGGTGGCACACTGCCCTGCACATTTTCTTTTTTTTTTTTTTACTTGGAGCCAACACAACTGATCCAAAATATTAGCTAATTAGCAACCCCTTTTTACGGAGGTAAAAAAAAAAAATAATTAATTCATGTGAATGTTTTGCAGTTCGTACACACATTTTCTTTTATTTGTGGTCACGATTTCTTAAATCGTTCCCTCATTTTCTTTTAATCGTGTGCATGTTTTCTTTACTTAATGGGTATGTTTTTTTTAATTCGTGGTCACAATTTCTAATTCGCTCTCTCGTTTTCTTTTAATCGTGGTCATGTTCTATTTTTTTAAACTGAATGCACGTTGTTTGTGTTTTGATAACAGCTTCCTGCGACTTTCTGACGGGTTTGATGTGTTAGATTGATGAGATAATGAACAGAGATGCTCATCAGGTCTGGTTTTGGTTTGGGGGGTTATGAGGAAACTGCAGCGCCTCTTCACAGCAAGCGGCCCACGGTGTTTCTGCTCCCGTGTCAAGCTGCGGTGTTAGGGACCATCACACAATAACAGGACGAAATGATCAGCGTTTCAACATCCTCACATTAATATATCTACATCTGATCCATAGATCTGTTAAACTCTCTCGCCATTTGACCTCATCCTACATGAATGTTTCTGTGTGTGTTTAATTTGAGTTTGTTGAAACAAATTGACGCTGATCATTTCTTCTGTAATTGTGTGATGATCTCTAACACCGCAGCTTGTTGCGGGAGCAGAAACAGCACTAAGCGCCTATATCTCTGTTAAATATGATCATTAGCAAGTGCAGTTTAGTGAAGATTGTGGTTATAGTTTGTCTTCCTTCATTTCACCACCAAACTGCAGCTGCACTGATGAATCTGAGGGCCATTTGCTGTGAAGAGAAGCTGCAGTTTCCTCATAACCCCCCAAATCAGAATCAGGCCTGATGAGCGTCTCTGTTCATCATCTCTTCAAATCCAACACATCAAACCCGTCAGACAGTCTCAGGGAGCTGTTAGTTACTCCTGCACAGGACAAATAACACAACCTGTATCTACTACATTGATTTTGTGCACGAATAAAGAAACAAACAGTGTGCGTTCAGTTAAAAATAAAACATGACAACGATTAAAAGAAAACGAGAGGACAGATTAGAAAATTGTGATCACAAGTAAAGTAAACATGCGCACGTTTAAAAGAAAACGAGGAAATGATTTAAGAAATTGTGCGTACGAACTGCAAAACATTAACTCGAATTAAATTTTTTTTTTTAACCTCCGTCCCTCCGGGGCTCCATACCTTTCTGGGTTCAAGTGGGTGTGTTAAAACAGGGAAAACACTGAAATGTGCAAGCCACTCTGCCTCGTGCACCAGTGTTTGGAAACTTTAATCATTCTTATCTAATTATGTTTCAGAGGAAAACAAACATGAGGTTATGAATTCTTCCTGAGACAGTAAAAATAATAGCTTTACTGCCTAGTCAGAGGTTTGACAGTGTTGTACTTTTTACTCCTTAAGGCTACGAGGGACCCGTATTACTTGGAGGCAGGACGGACTGTTCTGGAGAACCTGAACCGCTTCGCTCGCGTCCCCTGCGGCTTTGCTGCCATGAAGGACGTCCGCACAGGAAGCCATGAGGACCGGTGAGAGAAATAAGAGGGTTCTCTTATATTCTAGACACATGTCTAAGAAAGATTTAATTCTTCTTAAAGGCTACTTTCACTTTAAAGGGTTGACTTGACCCAAAATCATTTGCCTAAATGTGAACCGCATAAATGAGGCTGGTCAAGTCAGAATTTAAATTGGGAAGTGAGCAAAAATGTGAATTGTAATACACAGTCCTATGCAAATTTGGGCACCCTGGTCAAATTACATAATCTATTGATTTTCTAAGTAAATATAAGATAATACATAATCTACAGAGAACACACTTCTGCACATTTTGATGGACAATTACTGTTTTATTTGCAAAATTGAACATATGGGGAATAATAACAACATAAAATGTGGCCTACGTAAAAGTTTTGGCACATTTCTATATTTTATGTTTTAGTTTTTGTGATACAAACTCACTTGTGTTCACTTATTGTCAATGAAAAGCCCGTTTTAATCAGTTGGAGTAGTTGTACTCTGGTCTGTCTGCCTGTCTGGCTGTCTGTTTATCTCTGTTTATCCGTCCGTCTGTCTGTCCATTTGTCTCGCTCACTCTCCTGCTTTCTTTCTGTCTGTTTTTGCTCCAGCATGGACTCGTTTTTCCTGGCGGAGACGTTTAAGTACCTGTTCCTGCTGTTTGCTGAGGAGGATGATTTGCCCTTTGATGTGGAGGATTATGTTTTCACCACTGAGGCTCACCTGCTTCCTCTCTCACTCTCCACAGCCCTGCGCTCAGACCTGCCCCCTACAGACAACTCCACGGTATTCCAATGATGCAATGATTATATGTTTTCAGCAAAATTACACATACAGTACAGTTGATGTCAGTGTCCATGTGTTGGTTTAGGTTTACATGCATGGACACACATCGCTGCGGTCAGAACAAAACCTTGTTCTCCAAAATGGTAACTTTACAGGAGAAGGAAAAAACATACTTTTAATGTAAGTCAGTGGAACCTGACTTTTTTTCCCCCAAGTAATTTTGGGGAAGAATGTATTTTATTCCATTCATTATGTGATTTACACACAGTGTATAGGACGGCGGGCATTTTCAAATTTTGTCGAAAACTGAAAAATGACGAGAATGGAGACACAAGGTTTTGCTGCGACAACTGTGATATGCAAACACTGATCAGGCATAACATTATGACCACCTCCTTGTTTCTACACTCATTGTCCATTTTATCAGCTCCACTTACTATATAGGTGCACTCTGTAGTTCTACAGTTACAGACTGTAGTCCATCTGTTTCTCTGCATACTTTGTTAGCCCCCTTTTACCCTGTTCTTCAGTGGTCAGGACCCCCACGGACCCTCACAGAGCAGGTACTAATATGGGTGGTGGGTCATTCTCAGCACTGCATGTGACGTGGTGGTGGTGTGTTGGTGTGTGTTGTGCTGGTCTGAGTGGATCAGACACAGCAGTGCTGCTGGAGTTTTTAAACACCTCAGTGTCACTGCTGGACTGAGAATAGTCCACCAACCAAAAATATCCAGCCAACGGCGTCCTGTGGGCAGCGTCCCGTGACCACTGATGAAGGACTAGAGGATGACCAACACAAACTGTGCAGCAGCAGATGAGCTATCGTCTCTGACTTTACATCTACAAGGTGGACCAACGAGGTAGGAGTGTCTAATAGAGTGGACAGTGAGTGGACACAGTGTTTAAAAACTCCAGCAGCACTGCTGTGTCTGATCTACTCGTACAAGCACAACACACTAACACAGCACCACCACGTCAGTGTTACTGCAGTGCTGAGAATGATCCACCACCCAAATAGTACCTGCTCTGTGAGGGTCCATGGGGGTCCTGACCACTGAAGAACAGGGTAAAAGAGGGCTAACAAAGTATGCAGAGAAACAGATGGACTACAGTCTGTAACTGTAGAACTACAAAGTGCACCTATGTAGTAAGTGGAGCTGATAAAATGGACAATGAGCGTAGAAACAAGGAGGTGGTCATAATGTTATGTCTGATCGGTGTATATCTGTCCCTTTTCTTCTGGCTGTGCTTTATATTGGACACTGTATTAAAGATTTCTCAAACTTAATTCTAATCTTGCTCTCATATCAGGCAACAGAAGAGCTTGATGACTCAAACTTTGAATGGACATGTCCCAACACCCGCCTTCTTTTCCCTGACCCCGCCTACCCACGGAACTTTAGGGAACCAATCAGGAGTGTTGTGGACAAGAGTTGTCCTCGTCCTGCACTCCCTCGGTGAGACAGAGTCATAATTCCGGTCTGTTGGAGATGCTACTGTACTGTGTCTTAATTGTCTCTATCATGGAGCAATAATTAATACTGACAGCAAACGATTCAAATGAGCACTACAGTCCGAATTCTAAGTATTGGAGAGAGTGGTCTGCCCCGCCCCCTCCTCCCCAGATTTGAAGCTCATGCAGGTTGCCAGGTTGAAGACAGCAAACCTTCACGAACTAAGTGTTAATCATTGGCAGTAGTTAGTGACAGGAAGTCATAGACTGTTAGTTGATCATCAAATGCATGTTTACAATGTTTTTATTGTTTACAAATTATAAACTGACTCATGTGGATGTTTTATACCTCTGTCAGTGTTAGCTAGAGGCATGGCTGGCTATATTTGGTAGCTAAAGCTAAGTCTTTTACCCCAAACAGAGCCCACTGATCTGGAAATACTTGCTACCTTGAAGAAGCTGAGGTCAGCTTCGTATTCTCCAGCTTCTTGTTCAAATTTTCCTGCTCCACCTTAAATGTTGCAGCAGTTACGTTTTTGTGCTTCAGGTGCTGCACTCAGTATAAAAGCAGGTACTCAAATGTTGAAATTACTTAAAATACCCATTCCTACTAGTAGCTGTGATAGATTAGTTAAGGTTAGCTAACTTGACAAACTTAGCTGAAGCTCAAAGTTTATGTGTTCAAGAGGAAATTTCAACAGTTGAGTCTCACGCAAAGATGGCTTACATAATCATAAAAATATGATACGTTATCGCCTTTCCATTCCAACAGAAGACATAAAAGCTACGTTCACATTACAGGCCTCATTGCTCAAATCCGATTTTTTGCTCAAATCTGATCTCTCTGACAGGATGGTTCACACTCGTTTAGGTAAGTGACTCAAATCTGTCATTAATGTGAACGGGCGTCCTGAACTGACCCTCATGAGCTCATCCTACTCAGTAACGTCACGTGAATGAATCACGTTCATCATCAGCACAAACTAACGAGCAGAACGAGCTTCGCTGAGAAGATCATTAACTCTGATCAGCCTTTAGCTTCATTATTAGAGCGAGACGAAGGAGAAAAAGGTGAGATGAGCTGCTTTTCCACCGTTTACTTCTGTTCGGCGCTGCTGCCATGGTAACGCTGAATGATGGCACAGTGGAAAAAAAGCACATGAATTCCGATCTGAGTGTCACATTAAGGTCTCATGGCCATGAATCGGATACGCATCCGATCTAGGACCACATATGAAAGTGACTTAGGACGGATTTGAAAAGATCAGATTTGTGTCCACACAGCCCTGAAAACATCAGATCTGAGTCACATTAGGGCAAAAAATCGGATTTGTGCCACTTCAACCTGGTAATGTGAACGTAGCCTAAGAAGCTCACTGTCCTCTACTTGTCCACATTTAGCTACTGTGGCTGTTGAAATAACAGTAGATCCCTTTCTGGTTTGTTCTCTGTCGCCCCCTTCAGTACTGAGTGTTGTATCGCTACAGTAACATAAGAACGCACAGTAAGTTTGTACAGAAGGGCCGTGTGTTTGCAGTTCGTTGGCCGAGCGCTGTCATTTGCGTTCCCGTTCAGTTTCTTTCTGGCTTTACTCGCATTTTACTACATCTCTGCTCATGGAGCTTTTTAGGATACAGAGGCTTTTTAGGTCCGGATCCAGTTTGTTTGCTTGCTTCCATGGCTGCAGCACACTGTGTATGCCTGCCAATGTGTTTAGTATCTGGCACCCCCGGGTGTCGAAACAGTACTGGGAAATGGACAGTGGGTGGGATCACAGGACAAAACACAGACTTTCTGCTCCGAAACTGAAATTTCAAAGGAGAACATACTGGCGCCAGTATTTCTACTTGGCATGTTGTCTTAATCTCTGATAACATCATATCATTTTATGATTTACTGCAGTAAATATGTTACATATTGTTCCTTTATTTCCAGGTCATGATGTAATGCAGGGGTGTCTAACTCAACTAAAAGGGCCATATTAAAAAATCTCAACAAATTTGAGGGCTGGACAGTGTTTATATTTTAATACGCCAAAACATCAACAGCAAAATGTAGCCACTTGTAGTAAACCTTTAAATATTACATGTCAATAATTTATATATTTAGGCTTTATATATTTAGGCTACATCCGCTACAGATAACAGTTAAATCTCCTTAAATGTCCCCAGGATGTAGGTCTGTTAAACCTACCTGTGTGCTGGGTCTCGACACCTGACATCTTTTCTTTGCTGCAAGTTTATTAATTTTTGGGCTCTGTTTCTGAGCTGCTGAGTGTTTGTAGTGTTTATAGTGTTTACGCTGCTCGAACTGCAGCTGAAACGCAGCTGGTGTGTTTGGCGATGTGACGTTTGCAATTGGGTAGAAAACTGCTGTCCCATTGATTGTTGTTGGGAGTGGGGTGTCAGCGCAAATTACGTTGCAGTGCATGTTGGGGATTGTAGTGCTGCTGATTGTGATATGGCCTAATATTAATAGAAAATCAAAATAATATTGAGGGCCGGGTTGGATTGGGCCACGGGCCTGATCTGGCCCACCGGCCTTAGGTTTGGCACATGGGATGTAATGAAAGTCTTGATGACAGTTTATTTTGTGTCGTCCTTTTAGATGAAACAATCGCTCAACAGACTCTTAAAAACGTCAAAAACATATGAGGGTTAGGATTTGGTTTTGGGTTTAGGTTAAGGCTAGGGTTAGGATTAGGGCCAGGGTGAGGGTTAGGATTAGGTTTTGGGTTGAGGTTAAGGTTAGGATTAGGTTTTGGGTTGAGGTTAAGGCTAGGGATAGGATTAGGGCCAGGGTGAGGGTTAGGGTTAGGTTTTGGTTTGAGGTTAAGGTTAGGGTTAGGATTAGGGCCAGGGTGAGGGTTAGGTGTTGGGTAAGGTTGGTAAGGTCAGGTTTTGCGTAATGGAAGTAACATATTAACAACACATCTACTTAATGTGTTACTGATAATCTGTTAAGAGTTTATTAATCATCTACAAATTACCACCAAATAAAGTGTTACCAAAGTTTTTTGAAAGTTTGTGCTGCGAGAAAAAATGTTTCCCAATGTTCATTATTTATCTTTCTCTTTTCCTCGCTCTCTCTCAGGGAGCCTGGAATTGGTCGTGCTCCGCTCAGGGCTCAGGACTTCATGGCTAATAACCCAGAGCACCTGGAGCTCCTGAGAAGAATGGGGGTCAGTCTGATCCACCTGAAAGATGGCAGAGTGCAGCTCGTTCAGCATGCTACCCAAGTGAGTCCACTTCTCCACCTGCTTGCCTTTTACCTCCGTTCATCCAGGCTTCCCTAAGTCAGGGATCTGCTGTCCCATCCTGGAGTTGGGCTTAGAGCAAATGTCACACATAGATCAGTGTATAATGACCAAGCAAGAGTCACTGAGCACACTCACACACTATAGACAGAAACCCTATTGATCCTGAAGGAAATAGCACTGACAACAAGATCTATACAAACCAAAAACGTATACAAAAGCCTGCTTGAATAACGATGATCATTTAAATCTGATATAAGAGAGTAGAGCTGCAACAATTAATTGATTAATCAGTTAGTTGTCCACTATTAAATTAATCGCCAACTATTTTGGTAGTCAATTAATCGGTTTGAGTAACTTTATACGAAAAAAAAGAAAACTTTCTCTGATTTCTGCTTCTTAAATGTGAATATTTTCAAACTGAATATCTTTGGTGTGTGGACAGAAAAAGACATTTGAGGACGTCATCTTGGGCTTTGGAAAACACTGAGATACATTTTTCACCATTTTCTGACATTTTATAGACCAAACAACTAATCGACTAATCGAGAAAATAATCAACAGATTAATCAATGCTGAAAATAATCGTTAGTTGCAGCCCTAAATCTGAGGTAGTTAATCAGATGTAAGGTAGCTGCTGAGTTTAAAAAAATGTGCAAGTAAATAAGATCACCGGACAAAAATTAGTCACCTGTGATTTTGATTTGATTTGATTTGGCCTGGACTGGACAAGTTTCTGGGTGTAGGCGACATCAATGTTCAGCCACTACAGCATCAAAGAATTGAACAGTTCAGTCAGATTTCATGGATTTCGTCCCTGGCGTCTTACTCGCTGTTCCAGGTGGTCCCACGGATTTTCAAGAGGATTCAATTCAGGACACAGCCACTTGTTTTTCCCAGCTTTTTTACTTGCAATTAACAGAATGTCCCATTAATATTTCTCCGATCTTGTTACATCAAAATTTAGCACCCCTAGGAAAAGTGTGTCAAATTCACAGGGAAATATATTTTTCAGTACTTTATGCAACTCTGCTGCTGTAATTCTCAAGATGTGGCTCATCTGCTTATCACTGAGCATTTGATTAGCTACAGTGTTTGTTTATGGATGCTACAAATGACTGAGTTTTCAATTCAAAATGCTGAGCTACACAGCTGGACTGATTGTAGCCTGTTGAAGCTAAGCAGGTTGGCAGGGCATCCTACTTTGGAGCCCCCAACCCAGCCCAGTCGACAGTTCATTAATTTTGATCAGGAAAAAAATGTTTAATACTAATATGGAGACAATAAAACCATGAAAAAGCATACACAGGAAATTCTGTTCATCATATGCAGTGCAGAACAATGCAGATTTGAACGATAAACATGCGTAAACACATCGTGACGTTTGTCCGTGTGAACGTCTGTGTAGGCTGTGAGCGCTGTGGCTGCTGAAGACGGGATGCGCTTCATGCAGGAAATGATGGAGCTGTCCAGCCAGCAGCAGAAAGAGCAGCTTCCCCCTCGCGCCGTGCAGATCATATCACACCCCTTCTTCGGCAGAGTGGTACTGACCGCTGGACCGGCGCAGTTTGGAATGGACCTTTCAAAGAGCAACTTGGGGGTGAGCAGGTCTAAAGTTCCTGACCAGCATGGACCAAAATATGAAATGGAACATTTTTTCAGCAATGATTTTAATTTGGAAATTCCAGACTAATAATTCACTGTCCTTTCTTTCTTTCTTTCTTTCTTTCTTTCTTTCTTTCTTTCCTTCTTTCTTTCTTTCTTTCGCTCGCTCACTTGCTCGCTCTTTCTTTCACTCGCTCACTCTTTCTTTTGCTCTTTCTTTCTTTCTTTCTTTCTTTTGCTCATTGTTACTTTTGCTCGCTCACTCACTCTTTCTTTTGCTCAATCTTTTGCTCACTCTTTCACTTGTTTTTTTTTTTTGCTCACTTTCTTTCTCTTGCTTTCTTTCTTTCACGTGCTGATTTTTACTCTCTTCCGCTCGCTCTTTGTCTTTTTTCTTTTTCTTTTGCTCTTTCACTTTCTTTCACTTTTTTCCTTTTTTGCTTTCTTTTTCTTTCTTTTGCTTTCTATTTCTTTTGCTGTCCCTCTGTCTCTCTTGCTATTCCTCTGCCTCTCTACCCTTTTTCTTTCTTTTTCTTTCTTACTCTCTCTCTCTCTCTCTCTCTCTCTCTTGCTTTCTGTCTCTCGCTTTCTGTCTCTCTCTCTCTGTCTTTGTACCTTTCTCTCTGATTGTCTGTCTGTCTGTCTGTCTGTCTGTCTCTCTGTGTGTCTCTCTGATTGTCTGTCTGTCTGTCTGTCTGTCTGTCTGTCTCTCTCTCTCTCTCTCTCTCTCTCTCTCTCTCTCTCTCTCTCAGGTGCGGGGCTTTGTGACGGTAGCTGAGCCGTATACAGGCTGTTCAGAGTTGAGCAATGCTGAGTTTGTGGCTGGCCGTATTGCTCTGCTGCAGAGGGGTCAGTGCATGTTTGCTGAGAAAGCCAGAAACATCCAGAAGGCTGGAGCCATCGGAGGCATCGTCATAGGTGAGGGACTTACTGCCATGCAGTAGGTGAGGGAAGAAACAGGTCTGACCTGTAGGTGAAATAAAGGTTAAAGCTACACTGTGTAGGATTTGGAGACCTCTCTGGTGGAAATGTGGAAAAATACGCACAGCATGTAAAAGAACATTTTATGCTGTGGGTTGTGCTTCAGACCTCTTCCCCAAGCGGATGAATCAGATGATTGTGAGCGTGTTAAAAGAGTATTCAAAGAGAACTCAGTCAAAACTTGAAAGGCGTATCTTTCAAGGATGTGAGTGAATTATTGACTGTTGTCATCGTATCATAAAGATGTATGATGTGGTCTAAAAAACACCTGCGAAATCCTGAGACATCCTATCTAATAGACTTTTAAAGTACTATTTCAGGCTTTACAGGGTGACTCACAGCAGCGCGTACACACTATATTTTTTTTCTGTCTGACTCAGTAATGCTGCTTCTTACAATTTTAACAAAAAGTCTTATAGTGCAACTTTAAATAAGAATAAAAGTAAAACATAAAAATGAATAAAGGTTAACGACTATTTCAGGGGTTGCCAATATGTGGCTCTTCTACTGTTGTGGCTCCACAGCAGAATCAGATTTGTAGGTAAAAATAAAATAATCCACCTTTACAGTAGAATAAAGCTCTGCTGATCGTTCAACACAGTTTAACAGTAAATGGTCTTAAACTCTGGAGAACTGCTGATTCACCCTTTAACCCTGAAGGTTGGTGTGCAGATTGCTGGTCATCATAGCAACAAAGACAACAATCTTGCCTAGCTAGTAGCTAACGAAACGGCAAAGAGAGAGATTTAAGATGAACATTGATAATTTGGAGACGAATGGACTTATTAGTGTTTATAATCACTCCAGCTGGTTTCCTGATACGTTTAATCCACAACGAGAAACTGACAAACACTAAAAAGTCACGAAGATGAAGCCTGCTTCTCGTTTGAATTTTTCCGTTCCACCTTAAACGGTGCAGCAGTTACATTCTGCCACCCCAAGCACCATTTAAGGTGGAACAGGAGAATTAGAACAAGAAGCTGGAGAATGAGAAGCGACTTCAGCCGCGTAAAAAGTTGAACGTTGAGAGACATTTTACAAGGAATTATTCTACTTTTGAGGAAAAGTTTCCTGCCAGAGATGCGAGAAAAGCAGCTATAGCTGAGCTAGATTTTAAAGCAGAGCAAAGTAAGTCTGCGTTTTTGTTTATATTTTTAGCCTGAACTAGTACATCAGCACGTACTGAGACATATTTACAGCCAAGATGGTAAAATGGACATAAAATGTGGCTCACAAGGTGGCTTGATTATTGTTGAAAGGACAGAATGGCTCTTCTTAACATTTGGGTTGCGATCCCTGGTCTAGACTAGTGACTAATGTCTAGAGGGACTTGTTCCATTTCCAGTCATGCGTTTAAATAAACAGTGTTATTACAGGGAAATGCAGAGCTCTCCAAGGCTGAAGTCTAAGGATCTGATTTCATCATTGTTTTTGCTTTATCTTTCCCTCCGTCTCTCCTGTTCCTTCTCTCAGATGACAACGAGGGCAGCAGCAGTGACACGGCACCGCTCTTCCAGATGGCGGGAGATGGCAGGAGCACTGATGACGTCACTCTGCCTCTCCTCTTCCTGTTCCACAAAGAAGGGAACATCCTGCTGGAGGCGCTGAAGGAGCACAGGGAGGTGGAGGTGCTGCTCAGTGAGAAAGCGCGAGATAGAGGTGAGACATGAGGAGACGGAATGGAACCAAATGGGTCCTTAAATTAGATTTGAAAAAGCTTGTGCAGCTGAAGGTGTTGATTCAAGTGCTAGAACTCACTGTAATTGTACATATACAAGGTACAGACTACAGTCGTGTTTGGCCTAAATTAATTTTATGAGCTATTTCCAAATATAAAAATTCAAAAAATTGTTGGTGCATCAGTCAGTAGAGTATAATGTATATATTCCACTGATGTGGGAATGGTTCCTCCAGTCACATTCGAGTATCCATAATAATTCTGAATTATTTGAATTCAATTTTAATTGAATTGTGGTGGAATTTGAGGTTTCGTGGTTCATTGAAATGGTTATTGATTCATATTAGAGATGTACCCTAGGATAGGGGTGTCAAACTCAACCACTAAAGGGGCCATAGTAAAACATCTCAGCAAATCCATGGGCCAGAGTATAATGAATGTTGTGCTATAACCCCAAATGGCCATTGTTTATTTAAAATATGCAAAAACTATAGGCAAAAAATGTAAGCATGTGTACATGAATACATGAATACTTAGAATATTCAATATTTAAATCTCCCCAGGTGCTCAGTCTTTCAAACCTACCTATGTGCTTGAACTAAAGACGTGGCATCCTTTCTTTACTGCAAGTTCATTAATGCTTGGGCTCAGTTTCTGAGCTGCTGAGCTGATGTTAAGTGTTTATATTGGCTGAACTGCAGCTGTCCCATAGACTGTTGTTGGGGTAGGAGAGTCAGTGTGTACGTTGCAGTGCATGCTGGGGACTGTAGTGTAGCACATTGTGAAATGGCTAATATTAATAGAAAATTAAAATATTTTTGCGGGCCAGATAGGATTGTGGGCCCACGGGTGTTGAATTGGATGAATTAACTAATAATAATAATAATAATAATAATAATTATTATTATTATTATTATGGCCAATTTATTATATAAAGATCCTCTCTACTGAGAGCACATGGATAAGTGACCCATCTTTCAAGGTTAAGCTTGATTCTCAACAAAGAAATTGCATTTTAACAATGTATTTTCAGCCAAATATGTGATGTGATATGAAAGATTTTCATCATATTATAAACTTCAGCTAAATTCAAACACAAAAATACCTTCCACACGTTTAAAAGTTTTTTGTGGAACTAAAAAAACAAGGAGTAAGTTTTCATTAAAATTATATTATTAAAATTATAATTTGTGCACCAAAGAAGCACAGCATGTGATGTAAATACTCGTGGTAAGTTTATATGGCTCCAGATTACACATGTGGTCAGTTGTGACAATTTTGCGATGTTAGCATTGAAATAAGGTGTCAGCGAGCAGTTTCTCTCAATCTGTCTGCTTGCATGCACCAACCTAGAAAACCAAAAGAAATCAGATTAAGGGTATACAAGCACTGAAGAACCTGCTTACTGAGCCAAAATCCAGATCTCTTTTTCAGATTTCTGGTCTAATAACAACTGTAATCCCATCTAAGACATCTTGAGTGTACTGGTTACTTGACCACTTGAATAGTGGATAACAAGTCAAATAATGTTTGTTATTGTTGTGCATGTAAACAAAATCAGTGTGAATTAAAAAAGTAAGATGCTGCTTTATGAATTTGTTGCTAATAATATAGTAAAAAAAATGTATTTACTGTACTTTAAGAATCACAGGATATCTGCAAAATTACGCAGTTAAGATATAAACAAAGTCATTCAGAGTGGTTTGATGTGAAATGCAAGACTTTAATGAGCTCCGTTCACCACCCCTGAAAAAGATTCTGAGTTGGTAAGTTTCTCTACAGTGAACCGTTTTGAATGGTTCATTGAAACCAGTGGTTCACATCAAACCACTCTGAATGACTTTGTTTACATCTCAGTGATTGAATTATGCAGAAATTCTGGAACATTGGTGGAGTTCCCCTTCAGTCTGTCCTGAAATTGACATGCCTCTCCGATTTCTTCTTCTTGTCTTCCTATCATTCTTTTGGTTTCACTGTGTGTTTGTAACTGTGGGCCTCTCCTTGAGCTCTCTCTCTCTCTCTCTCTCTCTCTCTCTCTCTCCCTCTCTCCCTCTCTCCCTTTCTCTCCCTCTCTCCCTCTCTCCCTTTCTCTCCCTCTCTCCCTCTCTCCCTCTCTCCCTCTCCCTCTCCCTCTCCCCCGGATGAGCAGAAGCCATATTTAAAGGGAAAGCCCTGCCGGGCGCCCTGTTGGATGGCAGTAAGTAATTTGGAAACTTTTCGTCCGCTTTTTTCTCTCATCCTCCTGTTGTACTTCAGTGTTTATCCACTGTAGGATCACTTAGCACCTCACAGTTTAGGGCAGTGGTTCCAGACAGGAATTCAGTTCGAGCCCTAATCGAACACACCTGATCCAGCTAATCAAAGTCTTTAGGAGGACCTAAAACACGGCTATCAAACTGGGTTCCTTGTGGGCAACAGCTCTGCAGCGTTTAGCCTTCCTCCTCATTAAAGTCACCTGATTTAACTCCTCAGCTAAAGCCTTGACTTCACTACATGACTTTTAAAGTCTGAACAGATGATAAAAGACTGGGTGTCTCACACTATCCGACTGGATTTTGCAGATTTTTCGGGAGACTAAAATATTGGGGATCACACTAAACGATTAGGGATCACACACTACTCAACTTTTCAGCTGCTGCTGAACCAAACGGAGCTCACTGAACTCTTGTTACTTGTTACTAGGAGACCCAAAAAGGCTCGTGCCTTAAACTCAGCTCATTAAAAAGCTTCGCTCCACACGTGAGAGACTTTTCACCATTTTTTTAGTTTTCTTGCGTATTTTCTTCTTTCGTGCTCTCAGTTTTCATTGGCCGTTGCAGGAGTCCGTTCAGATTGAGTTGTTGATCAGTTTACACTAGATTACACTCAGTCAGGTCGAAGAAAATCAGACATGTTCGATAAACTCAGGCTGGTCTGAAACGCGATGTGGAGGCCAAAAGTCTGCGCCCCTCACACACGACTAGACTCTCTCTCCGACTGTCGACTGACCCAAAAATCTACAGTCTAGAGCCAACTAGCTTAGACTCATCCAGACTGAGAATCGGGGCTAAAATCGGGGGTAAAAGTCTTGTAGTGTAACCCCGGCTTAATTAGCACAGCCTTCGTGAGTTGAATTTGGAGTGTCATAAGAGGGAAATGGAAAGGAACCCAATTTGAAGCCATTGACATAAAATAGGCAGGCCAGTTTAGTCTAACCTGGGGATGCCCTGTAATTTAATTGATTACCTGCTAGAGAGAACGACCTTTGTGAGATGTCGTTATTGAGTATGGTGCTAATGGTCCATATCTAGCAAACCTGTCACAAATGCGCAGGTGTAATATATTTAAAACCCACAAGGCAGTGAACAGCCAGTCCACCGGACACCCAGTTTTAGGTAACAGTTCAGCCACAAATCAGATGTCCACAAGTTTCCACTTTTCCCCCAAACGTCAATCAGCTAAGGCCAAAGTTTGTTTCTTTAGTTTGGTGCTGGAGTTCCGAGGCTAATGTATCTTACAGATAGTGGCAAAATTCCAGCTTAACGGTGTATTATAGGCATTATATTTGCACACTGAGTGAGTTTACATGCAGTTAATAATCCAATAACGGCTGAAAATCATATTTTGTCGTTAATCAGACCAACACGTTTACATGCACTTGAGTAATCAGATAATGTGAAACTCTGGGAGTCAGACAGTAATCATCTTTCTGCTTTGCAACCAGCCAATAAACTCACACAAGAAGACGTGACGTAAACATAACTTGAACTCAAACTTCATATAAAAAAAGAATCGCACCACTTTACCTGAAAATATGAACACACATCATCTAGAAAATAAATAATATTTAAATCCCTCATTTTCTCAAGCATGTATTTAGTTTCATCGTCGCTCCAGAAGTGTTTCGCTGCATCTCGCAGCAACACTGCTCGCTCATTTCCGGTCTGTTTTCGCACTTGTGCAGACTGAGAAATATGAAAGAAATCAGAGTAAGAGTTTAAATGCACTGAGAAATCTGATTACTGAGCTAAAATCCAGCTCTTTATCATATTTTGGATTTGTAGATCGGAGTATGGTGTTTACATGACCATTTGAATAATCGGATAACTGCAGAAATTCGAATATGATCAGATTACTAAGTGCATGTAAACGCACTCACTCTTAATTGGTGTACGTATCTTTTTATTGCTTGTTAGCTCTAAGAGCTCCAGTACAAAAATAAAGAATGAAACTACAGATACGAAACACGTCTTGGCTGGTTGACTACAGTGGTAAAAGAGGAGGTGTGCATCTGATTTTTGGCCAAACCTTCAGTCTAAATATCCTGAGCCACCTAATCAGTCTGAAGACATTGATGAGTCGGATCAGCTGTGGCAGAAAAGGGCTGGAATTGTACCATGTAGGATTGTTTCAGTTTAAGGCAGTATTGACCTCTGCATGCTGCATCGCCTCTGATCCACATTATAAAGGCTTGTGCGTCACATGCCTGCCAAAATGCATGTTTGTTTGACAGGTATATATATACTTGTATGCTTAAGTGTGTGTGTAACTATGGATTGTGCCAGATCAGCATGGCCACTTTCAGTATTTAAATCTCCAAGAACATTTAAGATTTTTTGGTTAAGCCGATGTGAAATCATAGACAACTGTGTCCAATCTATTTAATGATTCTCTGGGGTGAGTTGAGTGAATATTACTATAGAGATTCACTGGTCTTCAAATCATTTTCCAAAAATTGGTTCTTCTTGTATACGACTTTAATCACACCATCTGCATTTCCGTGTTCAGATATTCTCTGTGTGAATGTTGCACATCGTAAGCCACATTCACATATAAGCCTTATTGCTCCATGTTTCTGCTATGATGGTTCGCATCCTTTTTAACTGACCCATATCTGTCTTTGAACATTGTTATAATCCGCATGCTTACATTTCATCACCAAGTTAAAGCTGCTGCTGACCCGCTGCCCACTCTAGATGATGAGTACAGTGTGCAGTGGAATAATATGTATTCTGATCTGGAAAGAAATCACATCTGTGTCACATTTAGGCAAAAAAAATCTGATTTTGTGCCATAATGTGAACGTAACATGACATAATCTGCATTAGAGATCTGCACAGGCATGAAAGTGAAGCCCAAACCCGCAACTTTGAGACCAGACCAGGCCCGATACTGCTCAAACCCATATCCACTTACTCTGGGTTAAACATGCTGCTGAGGAGATGACGTCCCAGTCCTCCTGCTTTCATAGCTTTCTAAGTGCTGTCGCAAGCTCTACACTGTATTTGACCAGTGTGCTTTTTCATTTGTTTGTTTGACCAGGTCATAATGTTTCCACAATGAAGGCGTCCCAGACTCATTTGAAATTTGGAATATTCCCCTTTAGCGAGCTTTCCTTGTATTTTCTCCATAGCAAACAGTTAGCAAGTCTCTCAGGTAGTAGAGATGACCTGTATCCGTATTACATCCGTAAAGCGTGTGTAACATTCGCAATTCCGTTCTTTCTGACTAGATTCTTTACTGTTTTTGGGCCAAATTAAAGATGACAGTGTACTACAACCACAAAAGCTGAGCTGGGCTTTACTATGTACTTTTATTTGACAGACATTAAGACTCAACTTGAAACCTGAGTCTGACCTAAGTCTGGTATACTGAAAAATATCAGCCCAAATCTGGCTCGACGTTGGCCCGACGTTGGCCCAGTATCTGGTATTTTGTCAGGCTTTGTTGGCTTAGATGGCAGTTTTTTCCATCTTATGTTGATTTATGTACATCTGACCATGTTGAAAATTAGCCAGTTTGCCAAAACAGGCATGTTAACTTTTCGCTAATGTGCATGAGAATGTGCTTTAATGTGCGTTGTGCCTGAAGGATAAATAAATAATCATGATAATATAAATTACTCCTGAACAAATATATATGTTGATGGTGAGCTAACCGAGTCAATCACTCTTCTAGGTGGGGACGAAACAGAAGAAGAGGACTGCTGCACAGAGGACCACAGCTCCCCCACCCCCTCAGCAGACTCTGACCAATCCCAGTTCACCACTCAGGAACAAAAGATAGTGGAGGAGGAGTCAGAAAAGCCAGAGGCTGGGCTTAGCAACGAAACACCAGCGTCTGCAGGGGAGGAACCTGTAGAGGAAGAAGATGCCAACAACCAATCAGTAGACTCTTTAATGGCTGACTGGCAGGAGGACTTGGAGGCCTTTAAGCAGATGGAGAAGGATGAACTTTGACCTCCTCTGTTGACCACGGGTAGGTCACGTAACAGCCATAACAAAAAAAAAAAAAGACTGACTGAAGCGTCGGCTCAGACAAATGTGGACACTTTCAGACACACCTGATGATGAGCTCTGGCTTTATGAGCAGAGTTCAGTCACCTGTGTGTCAATCTCAGGTGCTTCTCACTGAGCGTAATGCTCACCTGTGCAAGCTCAAACTCACCTGGACCTATTGTGCCCAGCACCCTTCTCCCACCAAACTCAAAACGCGGTCCAAACCAGCTCATCTTTGCTGTCGTCTTCCTTCTTTCGAAATCTGTGCTCATGAAAACATGGGTTTAAGTTATGAACATCCGTTTAAGTGATTTAAGAGCTTGCTGGAACTGTGACGAATCATTTTTACGCAATAGGGTTTATAGGCCTTCTAATTTAATTTCTCAGAGTTTACAGGGTCGTTGTTGAGAAACGAGAATGATTTACATGGGAAAGCAGGCCATAGGAACTTTGCAGAATCAGATGACTGTATATATGTATGTACGTATGGTTGTATGAATGTTCGTGTGTGCGTTTGTAAGTCTGTCATTTCTGGAATAGTCTGAGAATCAAACTCTTTAATCGTGTGCCTCAGTATCGGTTGATTTCTGCTTCTCATACTCACCCTTAACACTCCACACACTTCCTGACTAAGGAAGGTAAAACGTGTTTGGAGCCATTGAGCCATGTGAGAAAAACAAGCGGTGGCTCTATTCAGCAGTTGACTTTGTAAGGAAGCTTTTGAGCACGAGTCTCAAAGGTCAGTTATTTATCATGCTGAACAGGTAGCCAACTGTCCATAACTGTGTGCATTAAAACATAAAAGGCAGAAGACATGAGGTTAGAGCATCAGCTTTGGTAAATGTGGGCCTCTGAGTCCAAATAATGTTGACTACCGTTGCTCATTCGAGGGTCCAAAAGAGGTGTGAAATCTATACTGTCCACCAGAGGGTGCTGTCGCTTCATGACTGCAAAAAAGGACTCGCTGACTGATCTTGACAACAAGGCAAGAAGAAAATAATGTCATAAACTGGAAAATGAACTTGTTGAAGGCATTCAATGCATTTAGAGTTAATCAGACTCTTATCTTTTTTACATTTGAATGGGACTGTATGAAGAGATTGTTATGAAAAGAGTGAAATCAGCAGGTTGTGCCCAATAAATGGTTAACACACAAATGTTTTCTGATCTCCGATTTGATTGTATTCAGTTCCTCTCTGTCTAAACAACTGGCGGATAACCATCTCTGCTTATTGGAAAGTGGGTTACAGGAACTCATCACACTGAGCAGGACGTGTGTGTCCTCTTTTACAGCATGGCAGTTATATTGTCCTCTCTATTGACTTTTTGGACAGTACCACATTCTAGTTCCCTCTGGTCAGACATCTGATCATAAACGGTCCACATCAAACTGGAATGTTTCTGAGAAATGATAATGTCAGTATAATTTATCATGTATTATGTACTCCATGTTTCCCACAAATTTACTGGAGAAATACACACACACACATATATATATATATATATATATATATATATATATATATATATATATATATATATATATATATATATACACATATATATACACACGCGCACACACACACACTCCTAGGCAAAAAATACGCCCAGCCCCAAAATGTCAAAGCATTAGGTTTTAATGGTCTTAACACACACACACATCTTCTAAGCCGCTTATTCTTCTGGGTCGCGGGGGGAGCTGGAGCCTATCCCAGCAGTCATTGGGTGGAAGGCAGGATACACCCTGGACAGGTCACCAGTTCATCGCAGGGCATGGTCTTAACAACAAATCATTAAACAAATAGATACAGTAACTCAGAGGTGTCAAACTCAACCAGTAAAAGGGCCACATTAAAAAACCTTATCAAATCTGTGGGCCAGAGAAAAAAATCTTATTTCATTTTTTTATTATTGTTCTGCTGTAACCCGAACTGACCATTGTTTATTCAAAATATGCAAAAAACTTCAACAGTTAAATACAGACACTTAGTAGACCTTCAAATATTACATGGACACTTGAAATATTCAAAATGTAAATGTCCCCAGTAGCTCAGTCTTTTAAACCCACCTACTTGCTTGAACTAGACACCCTGGCGTCCTTTCCTTGCTCCAAGTTTATTAAGAGTTGGGCTCAGTTTCTGAGCTGCTGAGCTGACGTTAAGTGATTATATCGGTCAAACTGCAGCTGAAATGCATTTCAATTTTATGACTGGTGTGGAATTGTATAGAATTGTGTGGAATTGAGGTGTAACCACTGTCCCATAGGCTGTTGTTGGGGTAGGAGAGTTGGAGTGCACATTATGCTGCAGTGCATGCTGGGGACTGTAGTGCAGGGTACTGTGAAACGGGCTAATATTAATAGAAAGTTAAAATACTTTTGCGGGCCAGACAGGATTGTGTGACGGGCCTTATCTGGCCTGCAGGCCTTGTGTTTGACACATGGGCAGTAACTTAACATGGGAGAGCTTTTCCCTTTGATTTCTTTAAATCTTAAAGTTTTGTGTGTAAAAGCCAATATTGTTCTGCTCAGCATTGATGGCTTCCAACACTGCTGAGGTAGACTGTGTTTAATGTGAGACCAGATATTCTCTATAGGGTTTAAATCTGGACTCTGTCCAGGTCAAAACCATCAGAATAAACCATTATATTTTGGATCTGGCCCATTTTCTTTGCCTAGGAGTAAACTCATTGTCCATTTTATCAGGTCCACTTACCATTTAGGTCTGATACCACAATTACACATGGCAGTCCATCTGTTTAACTTCATACTTTACCTTGATCATCAGGGGTCAAGACAGGACCAGGCAGGTCAGAGCAGATATCATTTGGGTGGTGGATCATTCTCAGCACTGCGGTGACACTGACGTTAGTGTATATCGTGCTGGTACGAGTGGATCTGATCTGTTTTCACTCACTGTCCACTCTTACTTTGTTGGTCCACCTTGTAGATGTAAAGATATAAAGATAGCTCATCTGCTGCTGCATTTTGTGGTCAGTGGTCACAGCACGTTAGCCACAGGACGCTGTTAGCTGGATATTTTTGGTTGGTGAACTATTCTCAGTCCAGACACTAAAATGATCCACCACCCATATAATACCAGCTCAGTCGTGGTCCTATGGGGGTCCTGACCATGGATGAATAGGACAAATGGATAACAAGTTATGCAGAGAAACAGACTACAGTCTGTAAGTGCAAAGTGGATCTATATGATAACCTTCTTGGGTATCTATGGTAGACCTTCACAACTGGGACCCATGGCGCAGAGGGTCCTGCAGTGACCGGACCCTCTGAAATCTTCACTGGGCTCCTCAAAGATCCAGTTTCTGAACAGTCAGCTCAAAATCTAAAATAGGTAGGGTAATGTAAACATCTAGGTTAGCATTAGACGTTAGTGGATGGAGTGGGATGCCTTGAAGGCATCAACTTTGTTTGAGACTCACACACACGCACCTAAGCCGCTTATCCTTCTGGGTCACGGGGGGAGCTGGAGCCTATCCCAGCAGTCACTGTTTGGAAGGCAGGATACACTCTGGACAGGTCACCGGTCCATCGCAGGGCTTGTGGGAGACTCAATAACAATAAAGCTTTGTCATTTTTTTAATTTATTAAAGCTAATTTTTATACGGCAAAACCCATTAATCCCTTTTTGGGGCCTGTAAGATCCTGCTTGATTAGCAGGCCTGATGAAGTGGCCAATGAGGTGTAGATACAAGGGAGGTGTACCTAATAATGTGAGTGTATCAATAAATGTAATGGGGGAGTGGGCGTTCCCTAGTTCTACACCACGCCCCTCTCTTACGCTCGGGCCTGTGATTGGCTCCCGGCTCTAGTTGCTGTAAGATGGCTTCGGTTTTCGGGCAAATCCAGAGTAGAGCAGCAGAAGCAGCAGTACCAGCGTTAGCGCCGGAGCGGCGGTGAGGAGGAGCTGCTCGCTGAGCCTGCGGAGCTCCAGCCCGGCTATAGCGGCACACACAGCCCCGGAGAGCAGCCGGAGGAACCGGAGGAGCCCAGTGAGTCCCCCCTGCTCTCATACGGATAATAAAAGATCTTCTCTGCGCGGTGAAATCGGTGGGTCTCTGGCCTCACAGCCTCTGGTAGCCAAATGTCCTTCTGTTGTTGTTTGCTTGTTGTCGGCTGCCGTTTTCCGCGGCTGCGCTTCTCCCCACCTTTGCTATAATTAATCATCTGTAGCCGCAGCTTCATCACTAGGCCTCGCCTGGCCGGAGTGGAGAGCAATCAAAACACAGGGCACCGGGGTTGGCATGCACGCAAGCCGTGTGTGTGTGTTTGTGTATGTGTGTGTCTGTGTGTATATGTGTGTCCCCCGCACGCACACAATGCTCCCACTGTCTGTCTCCGCAGCTGGACACCGCTGCGCTGCAGCCCGCCCGCTGCAGCAGCTTCTCCCAGGGCTCGGTTCTCTCAGCGCCTTTCTACAGAGCGGAGGTGTGAATGTGTGTATTCGGGCTTTAAACGTGCCCTGTAAGCAGCCCGACTCCACTCGAGCGCTCCTGCAGCACAGCAACATCTCAGGATCCTTATTTATTGCAGTCAAAAATGCTGAGTTAATTAGCAAACCATGAAAATGGCTGGAGGCTGTTCCTGCGTTTGCATGCTGATGTGGATTCTCTGCTGGCTGGTTTCACGTTGGCAAGTTTGTGCAATTCTGTTTTGATGCCGTTAGCAGCAGCCAGACAAGCAGGGAGGACCACTCAGTCAACACACGCACACACACACACACACACACACACACGACATGACATACTATATATATATATATATATATATATATATATATATATATATATATATATATATATATATTACATATGTATGCATATATATATAATATATGTGCATATATATATATATATATATATATATATATATATATATATAAAACAAACTGAAACACTGTAGCTTGAAAGAAGAACAAAAACTGAAAATAAAGAGGAGAAATGAAAGAAGCGTCTGAAGTATGAAGTAGTATAGTAGTACTATGTTTAAAATAATACTACCAAAAATGATGAATACAGCAGTTTTTATTCCATATTTCACAAAGTGTTGCACTAAATCCAGTTAAACTGGACTAATTTTGCTCTCTTTGTAGTAAACATGCAGGTTTACTATTGTTTTGTATTGTGAAACATTTTGTTACCATTACAATAAACATTTTCATATTGCCCAGCCCTGATATATCTTCATATTTTATCATAGTATGCCACAAGACAGTTGTTACGGCACATGGATATAGAGGTGGGCAATATGACAATATTTTATTGTTATTTTGATGAACAGTATGCTTTTCCTGGGAGTGGGTGGATATTTTTCCTGCTTAAAGAACCCTGACTAACTACCTGTTTCACTACAAAGAGCATAATTAGTCCTGTTTAGTGCATTCATTAAAAAAACAATACAAATCACGGTGTTCATAGTCGTTGATTAGTATTTTTAAAAATACTGTGACAAACTGCTTGTGCATAATCTCTGTTCTTATCAAAGCTCAGCACTAAATATCCCGACTGATACGAACGATTTGTGGCCGATAAAGATAATCAAAATTCCCATAACCGGTAATACCGACTGATATAATTTAATATTCATATTTTATATATTTTAATTTTGTACTTCTGTACATGATATAATATTACATGATTGTCAGTTCTGAATGGCCACACATCTTAAACTCGAAGAGTAGAAACTGTCAGTCGAAAATAATATAAATATTAAAGCGCTGGAGGTGGGGTTACCCAGAATTCTTTGTGTCTTTTTGTTAATGACCTCTAATTTTGGCATTTTTCATTGATTCCTTTACAGCAATGTGTTTGTTTGTGTTCTAAATGTTATTTTCATGCTAAACGTTCAGATTCATATCCAGATTTTTCAGTCGTGCCGTTAAAAAGGACGACCCCCCAAGTGGCGCAATTAGGGCGGAATGATTAATCATTTTTAGATGAAATTTGCAATTTGAAAAAGTACAATTTTCCAATGATAATAGCAGCAATTTTAATGAAATCCTACATTATTCTGTGTTGTCTTCGTTTTTTTTCCATGCAATTTTGAACCGTTTCGTTTAATCCGTTCATCCTGACGTTTTCACACACTGTGAAGAACAGCTGGCAGTTTTGCAGGATATTAAAAGGTAATTTTGCTTAATTTTAATTGTGAGATTTTAATTTGTCAGTGAACTTGGAGTTCACATTCATCGCAGTTGCAGTGTGAACTAATACAGCTGCTCACTAGCTAATATATGGCAGTAGTGGAGGTGAAAGTGTGTTACTCATCTATTAAATGCCAGGTTCTGTGGGTGTGTTTGAGCAGAGACATCCGGCCCTCCAGGGTGGATCTTTACACTTTATATATAGGTTTATACTGACATCTTTTTTTAGCTCAGATTTAGGTCCTTTAATATAGATATACAATGTGTGTATGTGTATGTTAGGGTGGAGGCGTGGGGGTCCCTAAGAAGACACAGTATGTATATATATGTGTATATACATATGTGTGTGTGTGTGTGTCTGTCTGTGTGTGTGTGTATATGTGTGTGTATATATATATGTGTGTGTGTGTATATATATATATGTGTGTATATATATATATATATATATATATATATATATATATATATATATATATATATATGTATATGTATGTATATGTGTATGTGTATGTGTGTGTATGCGTACCTCTGTTAGTGACCAGACTTCAGTATTTGAGGCAGCCTCTCAGAGTAAAGTGGACAGGGAGTGGGAGGGGCTTATATTATGCACTCGCCCACATTCAGATGGGCCTGTTGTAAATCAATAGGCCCTTTTTTTAACACTTCCACATTTTTTTTCTGCTGGACGTTGTCGTTGCAGGGCAATGCTGCTTCCACTACAGCAACAACAATAACAACAATGATGAGTAGATTGTGTACAGCTTAATCAAGTGTTCGAGTTTCAGGAAAAACAACCTTATCTCAGTTTCAGTGGTTTGTCTGCTAGACGAAAAATGAGTCTGTGCAGTGAATAAAGAAATAAACTTTGTCATATGGAGTGAAAGAAACTCTGTGTCAGCCTCTCACCGCTGTGCTTTAAAGGTGCTGCTGTAGCCGCTTTCGGAGGAACAGTTGTTATTTTCTCCCTCCAAAGCTGTCAGTATCTGAGAGAGCGAGTGCTCAGTGGGTAGATGTTCGTTCACTGGAGCTGGTGTTGGAGTAAAACGTGTACAGTGGCGTTACGGACCATGACGACCTGGTGCGCCACCTGCTGGCGTGTGTGCGTGTTAAGCTTTTTTGCCAACTAGTTTATTTTTAGCACACTGTTTCAGCATCTCCAGCTAACATGGCTAATCTAGTGTTTTGATAGTTCTTTTCATCGATTCATCAATTTATCACTGTAGATTTTAGCTGACCTTACTGTGCCCTGATAGCTGTGAAGGGATTTTTCCACAAAGCATTTACATCCTTTATTTAGTTTGGACTCCCATATCGTTGTGTGTTTGGTTTCCCAGCGGTTCTGGTCACATCCTCAAATTATTATCTTTACAATTTGACACAGATAAAGTGAGACACCTTTCTGTGGTGGCTGAAGTGATATGAACGTCTGTATTTCTGAGGTTAGTTGCTGTCCTTAAGGCAATAGCGGAACTTGTTTTACCATTTATGTACTTCTGTTTCTTGTGAAAAGGGCCTATTCTGAGGGCTGTGATTTCTGGAGTTAAAGGACTTTGTTAGAGAATGGAGAACTTCAGTTTATCTCAGCCAAACAAATGTGTGTGGTACATAATTGGAGCCCTGTACAGTCATTTTTAACATTTTAACACATCATTGAAATTCGTCACATCTGAAAACATGTGCATTGTTACACCCCTGGGCACCACTATGTGTGAAGGCATGTGAGTGCACAGTGTAAACCTTAACATATTATCATTAACATTAGAAGCATTATGTAAGATTTTTTGGTAATATTGAAAGAAGTGTTACTGAGTCAGGATAGAAAAAAGGCTAAAATATGGTGTGTTCATTTAAACGATCATATGAAAGTCAGAGGTGTCAGGTCAGATTTTAGTTTTTACACCACCAGATTTAGTTTTTCACACCACGTCATGCGTCTTTACACATTAATGTCACACACACAGACTCAAAAAGAAGGTCCAGCTCGATGTTTAGGCCTCAAATAAAATCAACATTACACTGATGTAGATCTGATAACAACAGTAGATCATTTTCAGAGGACACGTCCTTCACCAAGTTTCACTGAGTTCTCTTTGAATTCTCTTTTAACATGCCTGCAATCATCAGGTTCATCCGCTCGGGGAAGGGGTCCGAAGCACAGCCCACGTCACAAAATGTTCTTCCGCTCATTGGTTGCGATTACACATTTCCACCCAAGCTTTCCACAGATCCCCAAAACATGCATACACTGTTAAAAATGAGAGATCAGCTCAACTTGAACTGATATAGTAACTGATTTCATGGCTTTTCTTGAGTTGACTCAACTTGAGGACACCAAGTTCACCCAACTCAAACTTCTTAGTTGAGTCAAAAAGTCTCTTAATTTTTTAGTTCTGCGTCTCTGTTAGACTGAACTTCGCCACCAGCCAGCCATCTCTCCATCACACAATCCTGCTGGACATTTTTCCTCTTGGGTACACACTTACAGATGGCTATAGCATCGCTAGGGTTCAACCTCACAACCTCCTGTTGGGGTGACGGCTCATTCCACTGCACCACTCAGGAACACATGAAGCAGCTCAGATTTTGTGTCTACAAATGTTTAATACAATTGAGAAAATATTTGTTGTTTTTACTTTAAAGCAAGGCATCGTCTCATGTGGTGTGTCTGTCTAATAATTCATCCTGACATCAGGAGGTTGTGAGTTTGAATCCCAGTAATACCACAGCTGTCCAGATGCGCAAGAAAATATGCCAGATAGGACTGTGTGATAGAAGGAGCGCCAGCTGGTGGGGAACCTCCAGTAAAAACTGCAAATTCAGTTTTGTTTATCTACCTGAGATTCAGACCTAGAAATTTGGACTCTAAGAAGTTTGAGTTGGGTGAACTCTGGTGTCTTCAAGTTGAGTC